TTTATTTCCCATCTCAGCATTTAAACAAATCCTACAACACCGATGTTCCTCTGGTTCTCATGAATTCCTTCAACACGGACGACGACACAAAGAAAATCCTGCAGAAATACAGTCACAGCCGTGTGAAGATATACACTTTTAATCAAAGCAGGTATCAAAAGACTTCTCCACTTGGGGTAGAAGGAAAAACTAGTTTGTTTCTCCATATTCCAAATGGGGTGGGATTTGAGTTAGAGGTACTGGGGCAGCAGTGATGTCTTCTGTACCCATGTTCAGTCTCTTCTGGGCCTCATGGAGAGACTGAGACATCAGGGGGTTGGGCAGGGTCAAGGGCAATGTACTAAAATTGGGGAGAGGGGGGTGTGTGGGCCCCAGTTTCTAAGAAATGTACAAATAGTGGTGTACTGGCTGTTGGCCACTTGATTCCTGAATTTGCTGTTGGTAGCCTTGGGCTCTGGAGGGAGACAGAGCATGGTTCCTTACAAAGAACAAACTCTAATCCAGGTGGCAGCTGGGGTCAAAGGTGTGTTTGATATGCTCTGAACCTGCCTGTCAGAGGAAAGTTGGTTTGCAGTGTGGCCTGAGAACTGCAGCTGTAAATCCTTGAGTAGATAGATTGCATTCTGTACCTTCTCAGTGACAACTCAGGATTTGGGTGAATCTTCCAGTTCAGAATACTCAGGAAAAGCATACCTCCAGAAGCACATGGAGCTGCACCTTAACAGTAGTATTTTGATTTTATGCTAGTCTGACACTGGTGAGAATGTAACAAGAGCCATTGTCCTCACAGGTATCCCAGAATCAACAAGGAAACTCTGCTGCCAATAGCCAAGGATGTCTCTTACTCAGGAGAGAACACAGAGTGCTGGTACCCTCCAGGCCATGGAGACATCTACGCCAGCTTCTACAACTCTGGGCTGCTGGACAACCTCATTGCAGAGGGGAAGGAATATATTTTTGTGTCCAATATAGATAATTTGGGTGCCACTGTGGACCTTTACATTCTTAACCACCTCATGAACCCACCCAATGGAAAACGCTGCGAATTTGTCATGGAAGTCACAAACAAAACCCGGGCGGATGTGAAGGTAAAGGGAGATGGGTGAAAGTCTGAGTGTGTTGGTGGCCATCTCCAGCCTCCTCTGAATCCATGGATTCAGACATACACCCAGTCTCCTCATAGCTATTTTAGGCACCATTTAACACATCAACTCGGATCTAATTTGAGATGCACAAAATCAGCAAGTTTAGGAAGTTCTAATTCACAGAACAGATTTGATCTGTGTTCTGGGCAGCAGCAGACAAGGACAGTCTGGGCTGGACTGGAAGCACAAGTGATTTGTGCAGGGTGCAGGTCACAACCTCTGCACCTTCTCTGAGCTGTCACATACACAGGGGCAGAAGCTTGAAAACGGCACTGAGGGCTGGGATGCAGCAGTTGTGTCTCACAAAACTGCCCGAGCCACTTCCCAACCCTGCATTGCACAGCTCTGTGTGGCACAGCTGCCCATCTGCTCCTGCCCTAACCCCAGCTTTGTACAAAGTCCAGGAGTGACATTTCTCAGAGGTTTATGACGTATATCAAATACTTGTAGCCTGCAGTAATTTGTCCTGCAACTGTGCTCTTCCTCTCTTCTTTCATATGTGAGAATGAGGATTTGGATTTTCTCTGTGTTCATTGGGAAAGCTCTGACTTAGCCCTATAAAAGCACAGCAGTGCACTATAAGAGTACTTAGATTTAATTTAGCTTTTGCTCCATCATCTAACAAAGTACTGCTGAGGGTGATTTTTGACAACAGCAACATTTGCAAAATATTCTCAACAACCTTCATTAAAGGAATTAACTGTCTTGGAGTGCTGAAATATGATCGTTGGACAGTCCTGACTGTACTTTAAACATGCTCTATAATTAGTAACCTGGTAGCTGGTTACTAAAAACAAGAAATGTGTTTTCTCTGGGGTTCAACTTCAAATGCCAGCAGACCAGTGCATCTGCCTGTGTTGAGGGCAGGATTTCTCTGGATTCTCATGAACAGGACTTAAACCTTCTCATTTGCCCCTTGCAGGGTGGCACGCTGACGCAGTACGAGAATAAGCTGAGGCTGGTGGAGATAGCTCAGGTCCCTAAAGCACACGTGGATGAATTCAAGTCTGTGTCGAAATTCAAAATATTCAATACCAACAATTTGTGGATTGCTCTGTCTGCAATTAAAAGGCTGCAAGAGAAAAACGCCATTGACATGGAGATCATTGTTAACCCAAAGGTAATCAATCAGCTGGCAAGGGTTTATAGGATGTTGACCCAAACAAACTTCTAGTTTCTGGGTGGGTAACAGGCACTGCTGTGTCTCAGAGCCAGACTGGGGGTGAGGGTGGAGCTCTGGCTGACGTTGGGCTCCAGTTCTGAGTGCCAGGACCTGCTCCATGTGTTCACGTGAGATTTCTCTTCCAGACTCTGGATGGAGGCTTGAATGTTATCCAGCTGGAGACCGCAGTTGGTGCTGCTATCAAGAGTTTTGAGAACTCTCTGGGGATAAACGTACCTCGTAGTCGTTTCCTGCCTGTGAAGACCACCTCGGATCTCTTGCTCGTGATGTCCAATTTGTACAGCCTTAACGCGGGGTCTCTAACGATGAGCGAGAAGCGCGAATTCCCAACAGTGCCTCTTGTCAAACTGGGAAGCTCCTTCACAAAGGTAAACACCTGGTGTTCGCCTCTTTGAATAAAGATACAGTTCACAGCAATAAGGAGTGAAAAGTGAGGTTTGCCTTATCTACCTCTGCCCACCTGGGCCTTCCCTTTTGCTCTTTGTAAAGGCTGTGAGAGTACAGATATTTCCTGTGCATGTTGGGTGCTCCTGCACCCCTCAGCTGAGCAATGGGAGGTGAGCTGGCAGCCCCCCACCGTTCCTCACACTTGTTTCTGGAGGAAATCACAGTTACAAAGTAGCAACTTTTATATTGAGTCAGATGTAGGTTACAGGGAGGTTCCTGAAGAGTATTCAAGAGGTTCCTCCCACGCTGGTCTTTATCCACAGATGGCTTTAAAACTGTCTCTGTTATTTCCGCTTTCCAAAAGGTTCAAGATTACCTGCGAAGGTTTGAAAGTATTCCAGATATGCTGGAGCTGGATCATCTCACGGTTTCAGGTGATGTTACATTTGGGAAGAACGTTTCATTAAAGGTGAGTGTGCAGTGGGGATGCCACTGCAATAAACATGACTGATCTCTGCTCCTTGGCAATCGATCCTGCGGCAGTGCCTGTACAGAGTCCATGGGAGCACTCCTGGAACTCAGTCCCACCTCCCTTCCCAGGCTGGCCTTACCACACCTTTTCAGGCCTTTTTGCATCGCTTTGGGATTCTTGATTTATTGGTAAATTAGGAGCTGAACAAATTAAGTTTCTCAAATTCTTCCTTAAGATCTTGCCAGTCCTGGCAGCACCTGCAGTTCTCTAGGGCAGTCTGGCAGGTGACAGGGCTGGAAGGTGGTGCTGCATCAGCTGGCACAGGCTGTGGGCTCTGAGCTGTCCCTCTTTTGAGGGTCCCTCTCTGAGCTGTCCATGCTTTTGCTGTCCAATTGGAACAGGAGCCTTCCTGGGACACAGCCAGGGGTGGGAGTAATGTTTTTCCACTTCAAAGCAAGCAGACATGATAAGAGCCCTTAAAGCAACCATGTGTTCAGTAAGTTACCAGTCCTGCTTGTGGGCAGACAGGCTCTAGCATGGTAATTAGAGGTTCCCAGTAATGCTTGTTTAAAACCTTTTTCTGGGGGGAAAAGACCCCCAAATACAACTGAATGCACTCAGGCGCTGGCTGTGGTACATCTGACACCTGACTGCTCCTCCAGACCACCTCTTTCCACGTCAACAGGTAACAGGTTTCTGAACCCTGTTTTCTTTTCTGTAACCCCAGGGAACAGTCATCATCATTGCAAACCACGGTGACAGGATTGACATCCCAGCTGGAGCTCTACTAGAGAACAAAATCGTATCTGGCAACCTGCGGATCCTGGACCACTGAGTCCAGGAGAGGGCACGGTCAGGGCTGGGGCTGCAGCGCCAAACCAGCCTCACCGTGGAAGAACCTTTTAAGCATTAGAAATCTAAGTACACAGAGGGCCTATGCTTTGTCATCTTCACAGTACCCTGCAGTATTAATTTAAAATTTTCTCTTGCTTATCTTTAAGCAGCCACATAAGCGCCATGGATGTGCGTAAGTAATGCTTCAGTCCTTAAAGAGATTCTGTAACTCAGTTAATATAACCTTGAAGTGCAATACTGTTTGTCTTGCGGGAAGATGGACAGATCTTCTTTGATAAGAAGTTCAGAGGCTCGCCTCGACCATTCAGTAGTTTTGAATTGCTTGTAACTGCAGAAATAAAGCTGTGAAGCAATACATGTGGGACAACATGGTTGGCAACTCCTGTGACGTTTTAGGAAGGCACAGTTGAAAACCAAAAGTTTCACTACTGCTAAACAGGCTCTTAAAACCCTGTATTTCATGTGCTCACAACCTGTAGCCCTCTTCAACCCCCCCCCAAACTACAAGTGGGATGTCCTATCCCAGTTGTATGTCGAGGTACTGGGGTAAGGCTGTCAATACCTCCATTTCCGTATCGTGAGAGTGGGAATCATCCGTGTTCCAGACTTGCCCAAAGAATCCAATACTTGAGAAAAATGCCTCAGTAGCCACGTGTGGTGTTTGCTTTTTCACATCCCATTTAAGACTGGATCTCCTGTTAATATCTTAATCTTTGATCTGCCCTCTTTTTTCAATAAATGGATCACGTTGACTACACCTATGTTCATATTGTCACAGCCATGTATGTTAATTTATCTTCTCTTGAGTTTCTAAATTTGTACAGGAATCGAAATCCCTGTCCTGATCACTATTGATTTCTTAATGTTTCTCTTGTATTTACATGCAGACAACTTTATTTTATAAGCTTAGTATAACACTGGTATGTATCATTAAAGAAGTTGGTCTTTAAAAACAACCGTGATTTTAGAGCTTTATTTCAACTGACAACGAATGACACGTGTTATGCTACAGGTCAGCAAGCCTGGCTGAGGGCACCACAGGCACACACACTGCAGCAGAGACCATTCCATCAGACATGATCAGCTCAGGGTTAGGCACTCGACTGGGGTCAGGTACAGAGGGGTGAGGTGAGAAACACAGGCACTTGTACTGAGTACTGACAGCCTCCAGTCTGTTAAAGGTAGTATTAAAAACTCCACAATACATTGATTTGAGCTGCATGGTGCAGCCTTTTATAAGCAGCCTAGAAACTTTTAAATTCTTCCTGCCCTGTTCTTTGTGTCCAGGTCTCTCCCTGCTGGCAGGGCCCATGGGCAGCTGGAGGTGGCCATCCTTACACCAGCCTTTTTCCCACCTTCCAGTTCCCCAAGGAGCCCCACTGCTAGCCTGTCACTGCTAACTGAGGGTCAGGTCACTCCTCTCTCCCACAGGGAATGACTCTGAGGAACTGGCCCTTGCTTAGAAAAACTTGTCTCCAGATTTTAGGTCCTGAGAAATCCCCTGGAACAGGACTGCTCCCTAACAAAGCTGAATCCTAGATGCGAGCAATCAAAAGACATTTATTTATATAAAGTTCTGTAAAAAAATAAATTTTAGAACAGTATAGTTTCATAGAGAAAAACATTTTCTACAGAGTTCCAACTGCAAGATTTTTATATTGTACCATCATTAAATAAGGTGGGACACCATGTGAATTTCATTGCACTAGAAGAAATGCAAAGCATCTTTTTAATATAAAGATATACAGAGCATTCTAGACAACTACAGCTGTGTTACAGCTATGTGTTCTTTTGGATTTGGTCCAAAGAAACCTGAGTCTGTTTCCAGAGAGAATGAAAAAACATTGCACAGACAGCTGATCACTTGTTTCTTGCTGAAGGAGACTGGCAGGATCGCTCCCTGCAGCTCCCTCTGAGTCTAAGCTCCCCCGACTCTCAGTCCTGCCCCTTCTGGGGCTCTGGGCTCAAGTATTCACCTCACTGTCACCACGCTGCTTAGAAGAAAGTCAGTCTGTTGTCAGAGCCAAGTGACTGCTCCCAATGGATTATCACCTCTTCTGCTCCCAGATTTCAGCCATGTTTAGATCTAAGTTGTTAAGGCCTTTCAGAGCTTGAAGGTTTCCAGTGTAAAAAGCCACATCTGAAGTAACCAGCCTGCAGTGAAACACACAACAAGATTAGAATGTGACCCCATCACATCCACCTGGAGTGCCTGGGCAAGCAGACAGGGTTTGTTGAGGACTTTGGCACACAATTGTTACAATACATGTTCAAATCCTATGCCTGGATTAGACATTTTAAGTATCAGTTCAAAACTGAATGCTATGGATGTGGTTTATTTTACAGCAGTGATCATCCATAACAGGATTACTGCTGGGTATAAAACTAGTTCTAGGGAAGGGAGATCAAACCATGAGTTCAGAAAACTCAACAGGAATTAGGCATTTAAAACTTCTATTCTCTTGCTGCAATCCCAGGCTTATCTAGACTTAAACCCCCAATTCCATTCCAACTAAGAATATTAATTATTGCAACATTAACTTCTGTATTCTGGAAGGGAAATATTGTATGATTCTAAGATTAAGGTAAAAAGCAACTGAACAGCACAACAGCTGTATTGTTTATAACAGTTTATACAGAATTAGAATCTCTCAGATACTGTTGAAACATGTCAGGGATCATGATACTTCTTGCTACCAAGATGCAGGAACAGAAGCTGCATTTACATAGTAAAAATTTTAACCAGGATTCACAGGCCTTGATTTTTACCATTATTACAGAAATAAGCAGCTTAAACATAATCAGAAAACCATGTTAAAAACCTGGTCAGTGAAGGCTGGCTGCAGAAATAGCAGCAAGTGCCATCCAGGGTTTGATGTTCCCCTTCTCAAAGAGCCCCACCTCCCTAAGAGATGTGTCTGAAGTCCAAAACTGCTGCCATCAGACAGTCCTGGGCCAGCTGAGAGCTCCTGACTGCTGGGAAACAGTCCCAGCACATCACCAGGAACACCTGCCCTAATCCTCCTATCTGAAAGAGATGCACGCAGCCACAAGGACAGAACAAAACCAACAGGATGAAGACAGCACAGCACAGCACCGTGTTTGGGACTGGAAATCTCAGTGAGAGACAGCCCAAGCACATCTAAGGGCTCTCACTACAGCTGGGGCTGCTTTCATTCCATTTGAAACATTATCAACTTTCTTCTCTGACTTCTGCAACCTAAGACTATCTTTTCTTGTGGGCAGGTAGGCCCATGAGTTTTATTCACCCTTGCTACACTGCAAACACATCACTGCCCCCAGGTCATAAGGAACAATTAAAAACTCCACTGTTTCAAGGGACAGTCCAACTGACAACAGAATTCAGCCTGCAAGAAGCTTTTCCTGAGAGGTGGGGACAGCAGGCACAGCCAGGCACCCTCTCTCACAACAGGTACCACTGACCTGTTTGGGGATGGAGTGGGCTGTGGCAGGGAAGGGAAAAAGCTCTCTGAGCATAATCTCTGTTTCAAATCTAGTTCTGCTCTAAAAACCATTCCTGCAGAGCTGCCCACTACACAGATGAAACGCTGCCTTCTCCTATTTTTACTTTGCCAGCACCATGAGTCACCATCTGCGTTTCAAAACTGTTTCAGGAATCACACAATTCCTGCTAATTAAACTGTGGCTGTTGCTGTCACACAAAGGGAGAGAAAGTACTCCACGAGCTGAGGACACCTACAAGCAGGTTTCCAGTCGGATAATGTCCAGTTCCCAGTCTGCTACCAAGTGGACTGCACTCCTAGCTACTGTGGAGTGGCACAAGTCATGTCCTTTACTGTAAGAAAGCTCCAAATGGGACATACTAAAACATGGAGCTGTGATTCTGCAATCCTGATTTCCTTGCAGAAGACAATGCCTGCTTATTGAAACATTGAAAGAAGAGAAGAGCCCCAGCTCACCCGTTCAGAGGTCCTCCATCATTGACCACATTGAGGTGGGCCAGCTGCCTCTTCAGGTGGAGTTTGTAGCTTGCGTTAATTCGTAAAAACAACATCTGGAAGAAACCACAGCAGCAGAATAAGGAACTGTGCCCATGCTCACATCACTGCCAACACCCTCAATCAGTGACTTTCAGTTTTTTCTTTGCAACTCGTGTGATTCTTCCTTCTGCCAGTGCTTTGGCCTTGCCTTTCTGGCCACGTACAGTCTGTAAGTTACAGGACAGCATCACCTACTTGTTATGTGTGGCACTTAGAGGACACCTTCTTTGGAACATTAACTTTTCTCCTCTGCTGTCTAAAGTATCTAGCAACTTGTACTAAGCCTAGAAGATAACATATCTCGTTCCTGTGCTAGAAGGGACCATTTAACCTAATATGAAAGAGAAATGACAACTTGTGTTCAATGACTGGATCGGTCCTTCCCGTCCTTAAGATTTGCAACTCCACAGTAGCAATGACTGCAGCAAAATCCTGCAAAAGCACATCTGGTACAATTCAGGTGCAGAATACATTTAGGGACTTTTGGAAGCCACTGATTCTTAGCAGTGTTACAGAATAATCCTCTCAGAGGGCTGCACTCAAGCCATGAAGTGTTGCCATTTGCATAGCATTTCAGCACTAATTCCTGGATTGCCATCTCTAGACATTAAAAAGGCAGCTCAAAATCCTGAAATCCATTCTTTTTGTGTGCCTCATCATTCTCCCTACACACTGGAATGCTTCCTTCAGCTCAGCCCAAGCTGTCCGTGTGACTGCTGCCAAGGCCTTTAACGTGTGGGTTTCACCAGGACTCAAAAAAGAATTCCCCTCTCCCCAGATAAAGTCTCTCTTGTTCCCAAGTCCATGTGCATTTCCAAGTGAGCTGTGAGATGAAGCTCAAAAATAACATTCACCTGAGTTTGCTCCTCAGGAAGGAGATCATATATAGCTTCATGCATCTTTGCCATTTGCTTGCAGATATTCCTGAAGCATGCTGAAGGAACAGGGGCTTTCACTTCATACTGGAAATAAACACACAACCAGTTAACTCCTTTCTGCCACTTTAAAATGGTTTATGTAGGAGAGCTCCCAACAGCCACCTGTTTTGCTAATAACATCAGGAATCAAGATCCATTTAGCACACCACAAATTAAAAGGGTGGCTGGACATGATCTGATCCAGCCAGGAACAGCAGATGCAGTGGCTGCGAGCTGGCTCTCTCCTTCAGACTGGTACAAGCCAATAACAGACAAGCACTTCTGCCTCTGAGAAATGTGCCCCTTGAGTACTTCCTAAGAGAATTCTGCTTGTCTAGGATCATGCACATCCCAATTTCTGAAGAATCAAGGAAAGGAAACCATAAATAAATGGAGACTCCTGAAATCTCATCTATCTGCCATAATAAAAACCCCAACCATATCACAATACAAAAAAAACCTCACAAGAACATTGCAGTAATCTCTTGGAAAGCAAAGTAAAAAAACCCATCCCTTCTCCCAGTGCCTGAAATCTAAGAAATAAGGCATTGGAAAACACCAAATGGCATGGGATTTGCTACAAAGGGAACAAAATTCTTACATCCCCACTCTGGATAGGGAAGATCTGAACAGGATTTCAGAAACACTGAAAAGCTGTCCCAGGACCAGTGAAGCCAGCTCTGCAGTTCCAAGTGGAGAGGCTGTGCCATCACAGGCCTGGGTGACACACTGGCAGGTCACCTTTGGGAGGGTGACACTTCCCCGTGGAACCTTGCACAAATCAGGAAAGAACTGAATCGTTTTAACTACATCACTTACAAACAGATTGGAGGAGATGCCTGTTTTTACGTGGGCCTGAATTGTGAAAGGGAACAAAGCTTGTCAGAGCACAAGAGAAAAAAGAAATGGGGAATTTTGAGGAAGTCTTTACAGAAAATCCAAACCAATGACCTAATTCTGACAGAAGTAGCAGAAAAATAACACTTTCTGTTCCATGGAACAACCACCCAGCGTGAGAGATCAATCGTGCCTCACGACAAGGAACTTAAACAAGAAATTGTTTCCAATTTCCCAGCACAATGTTAAGCCAGAGGGAACTGGGAAGCTGCAGCAGTGGCTCCCACATGATTACAGCCACACCCAACTCTTCACTGTCAGGGGGAAAAGCAACAGCCCCATGAAGAAGCCCCAGATCTCCCAGCCATTTTTATCTGCAGCTGAGGTCAACACCTTTAATACCACAAGGGATCAGAAAGAACCTCACTGCTCTTCTGTCCAAACAGTCACAAGACAGCAAGTTCCAAGAGAAGCTCAGAACTTGCACTGGATTTTTTCCATTCATGGTAATGGATGAGCCCTTCCCATTTGTTGATTTTATTATTTCCACTGTTCCTGTAAAAACCCCATTCCTGTTGTATTTCCCTGCCAAAGACAGCTGTGGGGAGGAGTCCGTGCTGCTGTGAACTGCCTTGTCTCAGTGGCACTGGGTGAGGACAGCTCCCCTGCCATGGAGTTCCCAGGGGAAGCAGAGGCTGGAAATGCAGCAGTAACTTGCTTGTATTACCCAGTGCCAGGTCAGTATCCTGTCCACTGCGCCAACTGTTCATTTCCTACAAAGCAGGAATTTCTGGGTTTGAAGTGTGCCAGGCACCCACTGCTATGGAACTCACTTGTGAGGATTTACACACCTCAGAGCAGGTGACCACTTCATCCACAGGACACTGAAATAGCTGGACTCAGAAAAACACCTGAATTCAGGAACACACTAACATGCCTATTTGCAAATGTCCTGGGTTTATTCTCTTCAAAGCCTTCAGTGCCAAGATTTCATTTTTTAGGAACAAGAAGAGCCAAAGGATGGTATGTGCTAGGAATGGAAGAAAATCAACCATCCTTTGGTCCTGGACTCTGTGGGCTCCATTCATGTGGGCCAAGCACTGTCATTCAGCCTTCAAGAGCTCTAAAGGACAGGAGCAGTCCCAGTTTACATCCTGTGCCAGTTCCCAAAGGGACACTGGGCTGTGAAGATGGAGGGACAATAAAGGATCAGTCCTCCCTAACTGCCATCAAGAACATAAATTGTGTTCCTGCTCTGTTGTGTGCTACACTTGTTTAACATCAGTAATACAAATTCTTGCATCTGTTTTTTATTCTCAAGAGATACAGTAACCAAACAGCCATGTTACTTTACATAACAGCTACTTTTATGAGGGACAAAACCCCCCAAAACATTTTTTTTAAATGTAAACACAATAGGAGTGGGAAATCCCAATTTAAATGCTTTTGGCTATTTTTTTTTCCATCCTAAGTTTAGGCAGCACTACTTGACAGACCAAAGAAACAGATGAAATGAAAAAGCACAACATAAAGTAACAATAAAAATAAGAGAAACAGCAAGGAAGACAGAAATGCTGCCTGTCCCACTACAGCTCTCATCAGCCTGTCCCCAGTCTCTGTTCCCCTGCTTCTCATGAGCTCCTTGTAGGAAGACATTGGCCCAGGCCAATCAATCAAATCTGTCACTAAAAAATTAATTTATTCCTGTCATGAAACAGCTCATTTTTTTCCCCAAAACCCTTAGATCCAAAGCACAAAACTAAGAGCTTTAAAAGGTCATGTACTTTGTGTATCTGTGGGCCAAAGAGGTGTCTCAGTGTGTTCTACCCTGAGGTGAGTCAGAGTAGATCCAGCCCAGGACCGCACTGCAGCACTGCTCAAACACCAAAACACACCAGGAGCACTAATGCTGCTCCAGAGCAGGAACTGCTGAGCACAGACCTCCAGTCCCCAGAACTGCAGCCCAACAGATGGGCTGGTCCTTCCCCGCCAAAACTCTTCCTCCTCAGCACTTTCCTGCTGTTTCCTCAGCTGCTGGAGATGCTGCCCTCACTGCTGGAAAGAGCAGGAAACAGGACCTGCTGAGCCTGGCTGCAGACAAGAGCTGTCAGTGGTAAGAGAGCACTTTAGCTCCTGAACACCCGAGCATCTGTGCCAGCCACAGCACTGCTTTTCCTGCTGAAGCAGCCAACGAAACATTTTTCTGGGAGTGAAGGTGACTGACACCCAGGTGGCAAATGTGAACACAAGACACATTCATGAGAACAGCACAGAGCTTTCCATGTATATAGTTAAAAGAATTTCCAACAAGTCCTGGTTAGTAAAGTTTAAGACTCCATTTGAAACATCTAGACTGTATACAATGAGACCTCCAGTTGCAATTTAGAGAGTGTATAAGTATTTCCATAAATCATTACCTTGGATAATAGTTTGTCAAATAAGCTATCCATTATGGCAACGAGCTTTGCTGAAATTTCAGCTATGTGGTCATGATAATCCTGTAAGGGAAGAAAGCAGGTTTCATTTTCTACTGGCATTCATGTTCTTCAGAGTACAGTTGAAAAGCAGAACTTTGTGCTCCAGGAAATGCCAGAAGAATTACCTTTGTGATGTGGTCAAAATGCCTGAGCATGCTGAACTGCTTCGGCTGCAGCCGAGCCTCAAAATGAGCCCTGATAATGGGAATGTAGTGTACGATGAGCTGGAGGCAACGTGAAGAAAGGGCTGTGAATCCAGGAAGAGAAAAAACATTGTTATCACACAGGAAGTGTCATTTCTGTATGGACTGTGTCTCCTTTACATAAGTAACAGACCTGACACAATTTAACTGAGTGGGCTTTTGTCTGTTCTAAAAGCAGAGAGGCATGTGTTTCTTTCCCTGGGAACCCCTGCCCAGTGAAGATGCCAGACTGGTACCCAGCTGCCCACACCCAGCTTTGGTAAGATGGGGTAAGGGACAGATCTTACAAGAGGCTTGAGTGTTTACTCAACATTTTGGGCCCTGAGCACACACAGACATCGGAGAGATCTCTGAAGACCTGACTCATCAGCCACTTAACCTCAGCAACCACATTCTCAAGGCAGCAGTGTTTCTGCTGCAGTGCTGAACAAAACACCCTGCCCTGCCAGCACTGACCTGCCCTGAACCTGCTCCTGCTGCAGTGCCAACAGGATCCCAGAACACCAGGCTTCTCCCAACAGGGCCTGAGCCAGCAGCAGGATACACACTGGTGCCAGTGTGGTCACCACACTGGCCAAACATGTTGCAGCAAAAACCTGGCCCAGCTGTGGCCCACAGCCTCTCAAACCCATTCCCATCAGGCTGTTCCCTTTCCAGAAGGAAAATACAGACTGGCAATCTCACCAGTTTCTCACCCTAAAACATGTAAACTTTAAATTTAAAAAGCTGCTCCAAACCACCAATCAAAGGCTCTTAATTTCAGAAGGAAGTTTAAAACTATACTCCAGGCAGGTAACTGGCAAGGTCTTATCACCCTCTGTTGTACACACTGCCCCACAGCTCAAACACAGCTTATCATAGATATTAAGAACTTTCCTACACTTGCATTTTCAACAGACAGGGGAACAAACTTTGACATTTTAAATATAAAAATCCATACCTAGGTTTTTTGTAGTGATTGTTTTCAAGCCAACAACTTGTAATGCACCGGCTCCGAGCACTAATTGGCAACTTCTAGAGTTGAAATACTGTGAGAAAAAGAAGGACAGTGGAAATGCATGTTAATTCTTTATAAACTACAAAACCCCTCAGTTTAGAAACACCATCAATAGAATTTTGCAAGATTAAGTAAGTTATTATGAAGGCAAATTCCAGAGTTTTACTACTTTTCCTCTGTAGAGTAGCCATGTAATATCAGTGTGGAAAACATCAAGACAAAAGGTTTCTGCTCAGGCTCTTGACCTTCTCCACTGCTGATGTTAAAGGAAACTTGAAAGTGCTGAAACTCCCTCCTGCTGAGGTGGCTGAATCTATGTTTGTAACATTGTGAAATACTGGATTTAAGAAATGATGAAAAGCCAATCCTGTAAGAATTCCAGGTATAGCTGACAACTCACATTTAGACTTTACTAACTTAATTCCAGGAGAAAAGAAGTTATCATTAAAAGCACATAGGCCAACAAAGCCTCTGGACAGTAGGACAGTTGCTATCAGCATGTTCTGTCTTACACTGGAGTTCTGCTTCCTCACCCAGCTTGAGACTCACTGGGTGACGCAGCAGAAAAGCCACTGCTGCTGTCCCCAACTCCTGCACTGAATGTAGAGCAGAAGTCCCATGGCTCATATTTGAACAGAACTGTCTGTAGACATTGAGAGGCAAAACTTAGAGAGACCTGACCCTTTCTCATACACCTGAAGATGGAGAAGAAATTGTGACAAGACTGCCCAGCAGTTTTTGTCTGCAACACAGAGGATTGTCCTCACAAAAACCTCCTTTTTGAGGGCACGGGGGATTATTCTGCTCCTCAGGTCTTTCTTCATAATAATGCAAGAACAAACCCAAAATTCCAACTGTACTTGTATAAAAAGGGGAAATAATTTCCTGGCTATTGCCTGGTATCAGTCACAAAATGAAGGCCCACAGAGCCACCGTGAACCGCCCCTGCCAACTCTGGGCTGCCAGAATGGTGCATCAGGGCCAGAAAAGCAACCCAGACCTCATGCCACAACAGAACCACAGCTACTTGTGGCCCCTGATCAGAGAGAGGAATAACTTACACTGCTCTCAAGACAGAGGGTAGGGGCTGAAACTGCTTCACATTCACTTCATCTTCTCCAGAAAAAAACAGAACCTTTTTCTTACACCTCTGTGTGGACCTTAAAGTAGAATCACTGAGCCAAAGGCAGCTGTATCTCACACAGCCTAAGCTCCTCCATGGTATTTAGCTCAGGTTAGTATTAACTGTGAGGCAAACCATCAAAAACTTGGTCTGTGTAAAGGGTGCTGGACACATGTACTGTCCCTGCCTTTTGTGGGAATGACTGCTCCCAGATGGCCTGGTGCAGGCAGAGCAGTGAGGAGCAGAATGCCTGCAACAGAGCAACACCTCCTCCTTGTGCCTGCTGGGAGGAAAGCATTCCTGCACCCAGCAGGAAGGCCAGGAGCCTTCTCTTGTCTGCACCACCTGAACAACCCCAGTAATTACAGCCATGTGTGCTCAGTATGAGCCCCTAACATCACTGAGGTGCAGGAGAAGGGTCTGGAGCACAAGTCTGATGAGGAACAGCTCAAGGAGCCAGGGGAGCTCAGCCTGGAGAAAAGGAGGCTCAGTGGGATCTTTTTGCTCTCTACAACTCCCTGACAGCAGGGTGTAGCCAGGTAAGGGTCAGCCTCTTCTTCCACAAGCAACAGGAGAAGAGGAAATGGCCTCAAGTTGCACCAGGGTTTGGATATTAGGGATAATCACTGAAAAGGCTGTCAAACATTGGAACAGGCTGCCCAGGAGAGTGGTGGAGTCACCATCCCTGGAAGTATTTAAAAGATGTGTAGATGTAGCCCTGGGGACATGGTTTAGTGGTGACCTTGGCAGTGTTGGGTAAATGACTGGACTTGATTGATCTTAGAGGTTTTTCCAATCTAAAGGATTCCATGATTCCTCTCATACACAGCTGTATTTGAACTTTTCCTTCAGGGTGCAGCCACAGCCCATAACTGCCAGGAATTTCATTACCTGGAAATGCTTTCTGTTTTCCATCACAATCAAACCTAGCACTTGCTACTCTCAGTTTGCTGGCTCTGACAGCTGTCAAACAAAAAGTACAGTGCCAAGAAACCTGGAGTGGCTCGATTTTGTTCCAAGTGTAATAAATGAGCTTTTATTTTTTCTACCTCTTCTTGACATCTGTCCAATTGATGGCACCTTGCTCACAGATAAAAAATACAGTAATTAAACTGCACATGATGTTTGAATACCAAGAAGTAAATCACAAATGGCAGAGCTAGAATGAGGTAAGGTAAGGAGAAGGAGTTATGCAAATCTGGCCAAGTTTGACACATTCACTGCTATCCTACCTGTGAAAAGGTGCTGCAATTCCTGAGGGAAGCAGCAGCTGGAGAAGGAGACTTGAATAGGGGCTAGCTCAGATATACTGATTTGCCTTGGATAGTGCTTTTAAAAGGGAGAATTTGTGTATGAATCTGAATGACAACTGCAGAGAGCAGTCTTCCCTGCATCTGGTTATTCAAACACAAACTATAAATAGGACAAATATTTAAAGGTCCATCTCCTGGAGTTTGTTTCCCCTCTCCTACCCCCTACCTTATGTAAAATATCCTTCTGGAGATTGAATCTGCTTGTTTTTCATTGATTAGGCTCATGTTCAGAACTCATATACCTGATAACAACCTTTGTGGGCAAAGATACAAGTGAAAACCTTGACATAAATTAACTGTTAGGCTTTGGAGCCTATACAGATACATGTATGTGTGTGTGTGTATCTATATGTAAATATGACAATTTTAAGGTGCATTAATGTCCTCCTTTTATTATTGATTACTCATATTACCTTGCAGTGTCTGGGCTTTACCAGCTTTCCTCTTCTCTACTGAGAAATAAATGACAAAGAGGTCCTGATGTTTCATCATCAGAACCTTCATCCCAAACTATTTTTCATGCCTCTACTGACTATACCTCTACTGATTTGTAAAAACCAAGGGACTTCTTTCCTTCCTCAATATAGGTATGTATTTCTGTGGCATCTGGGATCAAACTGCTTTTTCTTCAGCAGCATTAATCCTACACACAGTCTGAAGGACAGGCAGCCATGTCAAATACTACTAGATGGGATTTCCCATATTCCAGGTGAACAGCCATCTTTAATGCCTTTGGCTTGAAAGGTTTCCTTATGGCACAGTAGCAAACACAATGATTCTAGATAATTTTTATAATTTATATGAAATCAGAAAAACATATGAGCATTATTGAGAGTAAGACATGTTCTCTGCACCCTGCCTGCCCCTGCTGGGCACTGGGGCACATTTGGAGCCATACCTTCAGTAAATCTGACAGGCGGGTCAGCATGTCAGTGGTGATGGAAGGAATGTTATCCACACACTGGCAGTACTCCAGGATTATTCTAATTAGCAGCAATACTGTCCTGAAAGAGAGGAAACAGCCAAATACGTCATCCCAGGGCACAAAAGATGCTGCAAAATCAAACACAGGCCAATCATGTTGATAGACAGCTACCCAATGCTGAGATTAGAGCATTGAATAAATCCACTAACTGATATGGAGCAGAAGTGAAACTTAAAAAGAGATCTACATAGAGATAGTTACAACCAATACCCATTCCACAGGGTGGTGTGTGTAGAAAGTATTTTATATGAAAGAAAATCTCTGAAAAATATGTAATAAATGCTAAGGAGTCACAAACAGAGAAGGCAGCTGTGAAGAAAACAGCACCAAATATTCCAAGATGCTCAACACCTGTAATTTCTCCTGAAGTCAGCAGGCACTGGAGAATTTGGGAGCTACTGGATGGAATTAAGAAGGCTCTCCATAGAGCAAAAGCATGCTCCTTTGAATTCAAACACACAGAAGGCAGGAAAATTGACGCAAGATCAAACGTTCAGAGAAGATATTTTAACATTTCAAAAAGTTAAATCTCTTTCTTCCTTTAGGCAGTAGAGTGCAGAAAGATGATAACAAGTCAACTGAAAATAAACACCTGGAGAATGTTTTGTGAACACGAGGCATTTGTGATGAATGCATTCTATTTAATTAGATGCAGCGAAACTGGATGTAGAAGTGTGTAGAAATGAAACAAGTATTTGCACCGTGAAGCTCTCAATTGCTTCACAGAGCTAAATATAACAAGTTTCAAGTGAGCAGAGGTATGTTATCAAACACATCATATATTAAGCAAATTTCATCCTTTAGAGCAATGCTTCTACTCGACCTGAAATGCTCTTCAGCAGTGATATCATCTGCCTGGCATAGAAGTTCTCAGCCACCAGATTCTGTTTCCAACTGAACAATGACACATCATCATGAACCAACTCATAAAATGACAGCTGGTCCAAGATATCCTGTACATCACACCTTTTAAGTTTGGTGCAAATTGATGTTAGAACTCTAGGGAGTGAGATCTTCCAGGCTTTACTCCCTCTCCAAAAACACTCTCATGCATAATTAATGCTTAAGCCTCAGTCTCTGGAAACACAGCATGCTTTTAAATGAAAGAAATAAGTGAGTATCATACATTTTAAAATGTCTCTGATATAACCAGCTTTAAGAAACCACTTTCCAATTCAAATCAGCCAGAATACTAAGAAATAGCATATTCAGCTTCTGAGAGATGGCCCATATCTTATTCTGAATAAGATAAGCAACCATTCACTAGTGGACTTAGGAATTTTGGTACTGTCCAGCCTGGAGAAAAGAGGGCTCTGGGGAAACCTGATTGCAGCTTTCCAGTACTTAAAGGGGCTTATAAGAAAGATAGGGACAATCTTTCTAGTTTGCTGGTGACTGGACAAGGAGCAACAAGCAGTTTTAAAGTAAAGGAGAGTAGATTCACACTAAACAAAAGGAAGAAATTTTTTACAGTGAGAATGATGGAACACTACCCAGAGAGGTAGTGGATGCCCCAGGCCTGGAAACATTCACGGTCAAGTTGGTCAGGGCTCTGAGCCCTGTGCAAGGTGTCCCTGCTCACTGCAGGCAGGGTGGACAAGATGATCTCTACAAGTCTCTCATCCCAAACTGTTTTAAGAGTCTGCAATTTTTGCCAGAGATAACCCAGATTGCAAGAAATAACAGTGTGCTCAGAAGACAAACCTGTATTTTCAGACGTGTGTTTTCATGAAATAATTGGAAAAAAATATTCAAATAAAATTATATATTAAAACCTAGCCCTTCAGGGAAAAAATGGCGTTTAAATGTAGCAAAGAGCTTGTAGTGTTTTATAACTTCTGGGAACCAAAGAGAAACTAGTCTGTGAAAGGAGAGGGATTTATAATTTAAATAAGATTACTAAAGTTGTTATCATTCATCACAGTTCTACTCAAAAGTTCTTGCCAACTAACCCACTAAGAGAACTTGCTAAGGTTTGCAAAAACCCACAATCTTTGTAGCAGGCACTTCTCTCTTTTACAGTATTTATTAAATAAATGATCACCCATCCAAAATTTTGGATGACCCACAGTTACTTCATTATCTGCTATGATTTTAGATCAAAAATATCTCATAGCCCCACAGTCATTATGGACTTAAAAACTCCAAATACAACAGATTACACATAGAAGAAAGGCAGAAAAAGCCATTGGGTTTTCTACTATATATTCTCAAGTGATTTGCTGTGTATATTAGTATTTTAGCTTCAAGTCACTTTTTCCTCAGGCTTCATAACAGGAGCTCTTACTGATGCAGTTTTTCACATTAAATTATCTGCTTGAAGGAGGCTGCGGGAGGTTTTTTTACGAGCAATGGTTGACAAACGTATTTTGGTGTCGTGTTCCATAACTGGAGTGATTATTGCTTTAATACACTCTGTTATCTGCTGTGTTCCTTCTGGGAGGTCAGGGTTTCTCCACCATGACATCACTGTATTTTCTTCCTTCTAATCTCTTGACATTTTTCTCCCCCTCTCTGCTTGTTTTCTTCCTCTTCTGGATAGTCACTTCCCCACCCCCATCACTGCAATATTGGATGAGTATCCCCATGAGGTAAGAAAACATTAAGCATTCCCACTGTGCACACGGGGAAGTGGGGCAGGAAAAGGAAAAAGTGACTTCTCTGAGGTCAAAAGAGGTTTCTGTGGCAAGGTAAATAATTGAAGGAACGTGAAGTTTCCCTTCCATGAGCAGCCACATGGCATGCTGCCTTCCATTTGAACTGGCAGATGAAGAAGGGGGAAGGAGCAGGCTTTGTTTCATACAAGGAGGGCTGAGCACATGCACATGCTACTCAGTCCCTTGCAATTCCTTAGCAGTACCTTGTGGAAAAAGACTGAATTTGTGCAGAGACTGCAAGCCTCTGCACTGGGAATATTTGTATAAAAAGGCAGCTCCCTCCCTGTGGCAACACTTCTGGGCGTTTTCAAAAAATAAACAGATAATCTTTCAGCACAAGACATCTCAACACCAGTAACAGAAAAAAAAACAAAGAAAAAGAAAAGAGAACAGCTATCAACTTTCTTCTCATCCCCTCCAAAGGACAGCAAGCAAACACAGATCCAGCATGTTATCAGAATATGTCCATCAACATTCAACAGCAGAATTTGCAGATAATAAATTCATTTCACAGCAAGACTGCAAGACACACACCTGTTGGTTTTTTTTCAGGGAGAGAAATTCTGCCATCTGACACTGAATCAACGAGGTCCTGGAACTCGGCAGGAACTTCAGCTTGCTTCCAGCGCTCGTTGTCCAAAAGCAGGCTGGTTATAAACACAAAAGAGGAAGCTGAGAAAGAAATACCTTGTCTTGACACTTCTCTTGCCTGTAAGGCTAAAAAACATTTTTTAAAAAAAACACTGGCCCAAAATGTTATGGCAGTGATCTTCATGAGAAGGAGGTGCCCAAAAATTGTCAGCAGCAAAACAGAACACTGTGCTGGTCTAGAGGTCTCACAGTTTGTTCATTCAATCTGACATAGGGGACCAAAAACTACACCAGGCAATAAAGGTCTTTATGAGATCGTTGCCAATTAAGTAATGTCTAAATACTGGAATTTTAACAGCTTTTGATGGATGAGAGCAATCAGACTTGATGGATGTTACTGGCCAGGCTGTTCCTCTGAGCAGTTTGTGTTTGTTTTTTTTAGAAAACAGCTGAAAGTGAATTATTCTAAAGCAGAGCAATCCTGTCCTTCAGTGTTACTTTTGTGTACTTTCTCTTTTTTAAGCCATTAGTGTACTTACTTAGGTAACTGTAGAACAATCTCATTTGAAGAAAGCAAGTTATGAAAACAGTAAAAGTCGAAACCAACTGGAAATAATTTGGGCCTAATACAGTTTTTCCACCATTTGCTTTTAAGTATAACAATCTTACTGATGTTCTAGGCAATGAAAAATTGTGTTCGGCTGGCATATGATACATAAAATTATTCATGGAAGAACACAAAGACTGTCTACCCAGAGGTACCTTAGTTTTGTCTTCCTCTCCTCATGAAACCTATTCACAAATCTATTGGCTTGACTCTGAAGGGCTCCTCTCAAGGACATGCTTTTCCTGCCACAGATCTGCTCAGTATCCAAGATAAAGCCTTCCATCAGGCGAGAAAGAGTAACGAACTCGTTGGAATTCAGCTTCTCTAGGAAGCCATCCTGCATGCAAAGAAAACCACTGTAAGGAAATAACACTACTACAAAAATTCAGAGACATACAGAAATAACTAGTCAGCATGTCTGAGGGTTACTACAGTTTGAAGAGGCACATTGTTTAACCCTACATGTGACAGACAGGGTAGACTGCAGAGCAAGCAGCTACCTTGTCAGAGACACACATTCTCTACATGAGGCATCAAAGACAGCAAGTCCGAATATTAAGAAGAGAAATAAATAGGTAGAAGAAACCAACACTGCCTTGCAATGATTTATGTTAACACTGGTGTCCTCTGAGCATTACCATGCAGAGCCTGTGGCAGCAGGAACAGTTCCTATACTCCCATCACAGATGCCATCTCAGAACCCTTACTAAAACAGAAACCTGGAAGCAGATGCTCACCAAGCATGAGGCACCACCAGCAGTCTGACCCAAGCTCCTCACCTTTGCCCTTGCCATGAGGAACTTGACTGAACGATCGTGGCAGATATCAGAGGCGTTATAAAGTAATTCTTGGATATTGTTTGCCAGCCTGACCAGCTCCAGGTCAGTCAGTTTCATGTCGTCACTGATCCTACAAATGACAAAACCAATTGGCTGAGCATCAGTTTATGGAGCAAATGATATTTTTGCACACAGGAGGAAAGAGCCTTGCAGCAACTGTCAAATGCAGTCAGTTCATCACCAAAGTCAATTTATACAGATGGGATCTTCTAAGCTGCTGTCAAGGTCCTGACAGCCCCTTGTAGGAGGGAAATGTATAACAGCACATCCTTTCTTTTTTTTTATTTATTTTGCATTCTAATTGCTATTAATGGTCTAAGAGTAAACATGATATAGCCATTTCTGATACAATAAATGTAATTAACAATTTACTGAGTTAAAATTTACCCAACTCCTGTGAGACTTGAGCCTCACAAAAATAAGACAGATAAACCACAATGTCAGCATAAGACAGATAAACTTCCACTGCAAGTGTAAGGCCTGAAAGAGATACTCTGCACTCCCCACAGCCTTAATCTACAGGCTGTCATTCTATTACCTCTTGAGACTTCAGGCTCTTAAGGTAGTGCTTTTTAAAAAAACCTTGTATGACTTGTTTAGTGGTACACGGCCAGCACTTAGCACAGCTTTGCTGTTCATGGTTCATGCCATTAGTGAAGATCACAATTTTCTGGGCCAGCCCAAGGACTGACAGCACGACAGAAGAGAACCTGGGACACTACAATATTGTTCTGTGTATTTTTATTATCCTGCTCCAAGCACAGAGCAAAGGTGCAAACAAAACCAGTAGAGTGATGAAGTAAGCTGATTTTAGAACAAAGTTATGCAACCAGCCTCAGAAACAACTTTACTCCTCAGAAGCTCTAGCTGGATGGTGTATTTTTAGCCAGCTTGGCAAAGTGCTCCTGACTAGTTTGGATCCAACCCCCTTCCCATTCCCTGCTCTTCCATGTAACCCTGGACTCCTCTTCACATTTCATTTCTCCTCCAGCACACGACAGATGTTCAGACATACAAAGGCCTGTGCTTTACGCACAGCATATTTATTTTAAATCTATCTCCTTCAGCCAGCATTGTCATTTGGTGGGGAAGGTCTCTATCAAAACTAACAGCTGCTTCAACACATAAGTACAGATACTCAAGGACCAAGCAGCAAGAGCAGGCCACTTGCTGTCTTCCATCTCTCAGCAGGGTAACAAGTGGTATTTCAGTTTTGCTTCATATAACTCTGTATCCAGACATGCTGGCTTTTGAAGCGGTTCATGCCCGAGTCCCACACACATTATGCCTGGCTCTTTTCAAAAGATATCTCTGACTTGCAGCCACAAGTAAGGGGTACATAAAAGGATGCCAGAAGATTGGAATTCAGGAGACTGGAGCACCACAGAGCAGTACTGCCTATGTAACCAAAGCACTGAGATGGATTTATTTATGCAAGTTAAATCAGTTGATGACTAACAGAAGATTATTTTCCTAGAATTTATCAAGGTGTATTCCATGAAGCCATCTTAAAAAAATAAACAAACTTAAAAAAATAAACCACATAGGGTTTTAACCATAGGGAACTTGGAACAGAAATGCTTCTCCCTGCTAAAGGTATGACAAACAATCTGTTTTTCAGGAACTCACATCTCTCCTGCTCTCTACACAAGCGGCCTCCCCAGAAAAACTAATGGAGAAGGGGCTCTTTTCTGGAAGAAGTGACATGAATCAGTCCCTGTACCAATTCACATGGAGGTGAAAAAAAGGGCAAATATAACAGTGCACTCTGATGGCAGTCTCTAGGGGGAGAGCTACTACACTTCACCTACCTAAAAAGCATACTCCTCCAAAGTCATTTTTGTACTGTGTGACCAGAAACAACCGCCTGCACCTCACCCCTCGTTCCGGCCACGCTGCCAGGTGGAGACAGGCAGGGTGTTCACTCACATCATCTCTACTCCTCCTGGAGTAACAGAAGAGGACGTGTGCTCCTTGCTGGACGAGGAGTCGGTGGTGCACTCTGGCTCTGAGACGGAGTCACTGCTGCAGGGCTCGCTGTTGGGGGACGTGTTCCTTTGGGAGGCCGAGTCGGCTGCTCCGGCCGGGAGCTCCCCGTCGCCGAAGGCGTCGCTGATGAACATCCCCTCGTGGGTCAGGTAGGCCACCTCGCTGTCCACCACGCTCTCCTTAGCAGAGTTCTTCTGTAACGTGTCCTCCAGGTCTCTGGTTTTTTGGTTCTTGTCTAGAACCAAGAAAACCACGCTACGGATAGTATTTAACGTTGCCTAGAATGAAATATAACTTTTATTACCAAAAAACACCCCAAAACCCAGTACCACAAGCTTGTGCTAGAAAGAGATTTTCTTTTGCCCACAAAATTAAACTAAATCCTGGCTTTTCTTTCAGTTGTGTAGTTAGTATTTAAAGGCAGACCCATTTGTCTGATGGCAACTGATATCTGATGTTTCTGAGACAGGTGAAAGAAACCTCATTTGAAGCAATCTAACACGTACAGAAGTCCTGTCCTAATCCCCAGCAACTTAGAAGTAATCGAGCAAAAGAGGTATTATCTCTTTGTCACTGCTCTCTTTGTTAGCACTAATCTTTTTGCTCTGGATGCTGATATTCACATCTCCTTTCAATCAGAAGTTTGAACTCTACAAGCAAAACCAACATCTTAAGACTTCAAATGGAAAAGCAACTTCATTCCCTTTCATGCCTGAACTATATGAAGTTCTTTGTAAATGAATGTCTTACCTTTACTCTCTTGAGGAAGATGGTGAACTTAGAAAAAATATTCTTCAGTAAATCAAACCACTGAGGAAAATTCATCATCCTCATCTGGTCTGCAAGCCTAAAAAAAGAGCAGTATTCAGCAAACAGCAGTTGTTTGCTGGCCATGATGCCTACTGGCACATAAAGGGAAAGAAAACATGCTTTAAATGGAATTGCAAATGTAAGGAAAACTGTGTATACTTTTACCTGGCAAGCAACAGACACCACCTAAACAACAGTCATGATCAACACAATGTAAGTGAAGTGGGGAAGGAGGGGTATAGAATTAGATCATACTATAAGAAAATAAAAGGTTCACATTTACCCTTCAGTTCTTTCCTGGGCATAATGTTCTCTTCCCTGGCATAGGTATGTGTTACCAACAAGGGGGTTAATAACACTTTCACAAACCAGGTGAGAGGGAAAAAAAATTACCAAAAAAATGACATGAAAATACTTTTCAAGTGTTAAAAAGCTGTGTTATTAAGCCCATTCAAAGGCTCAATTTGCAAGGCATTGCAATGAGATCACTTCTGCTATTAAAATACAAGTCAGCGGTTTGTGGCAAAAGGGCAGAAAAATCATTGACAGAACAAAAATTAAACCTAATAATAGTAGTAATACATAGTTAGGACCCAAGAGCAGAAGACTAAACACTGGAGAAAAGTGACCAAATATCCAGTGTGTAAACATGACCCTGTGCCCAGTCATTTCCCAATCTGGGTATGAAATCCATGCAGGTTTTGCAACTCTGCTTTATCAGCTGGACTATTTTTATTATCTTGGGGTAACACTTTGCTGAATCAAGTGAATCATAAAGCCATAGAAAAACCAGAAGCTGGCAGGGGCCCCTGGAGCTGGTGCCTCTGGAGCTGCCTTGGCCAAGCCCTGCTCAAGGCAGGTCCAACTACACTGGGTTGCTCTGGACCCTGAGCTCTGGGTCAGTCAAAGACTGAGCATATCCCAGAACAGAGATTCCACAGCTTCTCTGGGCTTGTGTTCCAGTGTTTGACCAGCCTCATAGGGAACGTATTCTCCCTACAATTCAACTGGCATTTTCATCTTCCACATTGTGCCCACTGCCCTCTGTGCAAACTCTGAGAGGAGCCTGGCTCCATCTTCATCTCCGCTCTGGCATTTGCCTTTGCTGGGCTTGGTGAGGTTCCTGATGGACCCTTCCCATGGTTAAAGTTGTCTGGTCTCCTCTCTGGATAGCTCCTGTTCTTGATTATGGAGGAGGAACTTAAACTAAACGACATGTTTTAATACTAAGTCCCAGATTATGGCAACAGGAAATGCTTTCAAGTGGAGATATATTCAAGAGATGTATGCTTCATGTAGTGAGATTCACAGAATTTTAGTGTTTATTTCAAAGGCAAATTTAAGGTAACATTAGAATCTGAATGAGAAGCAAAGCACTCCCAGAGGGGGACAAAAGAAGTCTTAAGATGCAAGAGAAGCACAATCCTAATTATAGGGAAATTTAAGTAAAAATTAGAACAGTAAATTTATCTATGCTAAAAAACATACTATCCCCACCCACCACCACCAAAAATAAAACCAAACAAAAAAATCTGGCTGCATACTTACTTAACAACCACTTCTGTATCTATTTCTTCTATCTGCGATACCGTATTAACCACACACTGTCAAATTTTAGGGGAAAAAAAAAACAAAACAAAAGAAGATCTTAGCTTCTTTCTAACCACTGCTGAGTTTCATAACAAATACATTAACCCTTAAGTTAAATAAGGAAAAGTAAAATACGAAAAGACATACTTGTATCACTTAACAACTTGTTTCTCTAAAAAAAACCAAAACCAAACAAACCAAACAACAACAAAAAAAAAATTAAAAAAAGAAACCCCCCAAAGTAGCTGGTGCATACAAAACTGGCCAGCTTCTTCAGGTCCCCAGTACAATCAATTTTCATTCCAAACACATCTACAGTTTTACAGCCATTTCACTGATCTCTTTTCCCATTACTTGTAAGTCCAAGGTACCAATCAACTCCACTCAGACTGAAAAAGGGCTTTTCTCCCAAATGCCAGTCAATAAACTGAACAAATGAGTGGTAGAGTGTGAACTCATCCTGCCTTTAAGCAAGTCTGTACAATCCCAGTGGTGACTGAGGGCTTCCATCTCAAGCTACATGGGTTTTACTTGTGTTCTGAATAATGGTGGTCAGTACAGAAGCTTCTGAAGAACAGAACCTTGTTCTTAAACTATGCAGTGTGCTCAGTACTTACAAACTTCTGCTTTTACACTTGCCTGGCAACAAAAACCTACTAAAATTCACAGACCAAAACAGCCCAGCAATGCATTTGAAGAGGAAGCACATTTGAGGTGTGGCAAGAAAACAGTTTCCTTTATTAAGGAAAAGTACCCCTAAGAGTTGAGACAATGGGCCATCATACAAAAGCACTGCACAAACCACACAAGAATACTCAAATCCTGCCTATTTGCTTTCATGGAAAGAGATTTACACTCAAATTTGATTAAACATTGCCTATTATTAAGCAAAGGGGAAAGCTGAAAAATCCAACCTACATTTTCCCAGCAGAATGGGAAAAGCATTTCGAGACTGAGAATGAGCAGAAAACTAGAAGTGCTACCTGTCTATTATATGATCAAATAAAGAATCTGAAGGGAAAAAAAAAGTCTCCTTATGACTGCTGATACAGGCTAGTGAAAAGCCAGTGGGAAAAGGCAGGTGAACAGCTTTATCCTGCTGTTATTCTTTTTTTTTTTTTTATTTACTAGCAATGTAGTCCTTTCCACCTTGTACAACCAGATCAACAGAACCATGGGGCTGAAATGTGAAAGGGATTGGAACAGCCAAGTCTGGGCTTAAAACAAAAACCTTCAAACAGTATTAAAAAACCAAATCCAAACTTTTAAAAACTGGGTTCCCAACCCAGTTCACAATCCAGCTGTGAACTGCAGACTATTCTATGAGGACAGGAGATGCCCTTACTCAGCACCTATCTCCCAGCCTTTGAGATACAAATCAGAGGGAGTTCATAGCATATCAGAGCATAACTCCTTAAATAATCACCTATCTCTAGAGAAAAAAAAACAACACACAATATGGGGACAAACAAGGTGAATAAAACTGAAAGTACCAAACACAAACCCTAAGTTCAGCCTAAGATCTGTTTGCAAACAAAAGTCATGTCACTATCAAAATTAGCCAATGTATTTCCCCCATAGAAGCAATCTGTATTTTATTCAATTATTGGTTTCAGCTGGTTTTATCAATAAGGTTTTTTGGCTTGAAAGATACCCTGCCCTAAATGGCAAACCACCACACCAATGTAAAAAAGGATTTGGGGCTTAATTTAAGCTTTTTTTAAAGGTAAGCACTTCTACCTTCTCCATTACTTCACCTTGCGCTCTCAGAGAAAGGCAAGGATATTTTCCAACCTTTTATCATGTGCCTGTGCTAGGTCTGTCTTAAACATTAAGGCAAGAAATATTTTCTGTGCCATTTGCAGAGAATTCATTTGTTTAAACTGGCAAGTTCTTTGATTCTCCTTTAGGTGTTTACACCAAGAACTTGAGGGCTTTGCTTTACAATGTGTTGAGGGGGAGAGGTTTTTAGTGTGGTTTTGGAGTGTATGTTTTGTTGTGGGTTTTTAATGAAATGTAGTGTTATGACACAACTCTACTATTTTGGAGAGTCACATATTAAGAGAAGGGAAAGTTCACAATAATGTTAATTTTACAAAGAAAACAGGGAGCTTATGTTACCTACACCTTCCAAAAGTTATTTTGCAAACGCCTCTGTGCTTCAGGGAGCCCTCAATTATCTGCAAGCTCAGCTGCTCTGAGAGACCATCAGACACCAAAAAATTTCATCAGAGCTGTTCTAATGACTAAAATAATATATGCAAGGGGTAGAGGAAAGCTCGTCGGGTACATTAGGAATGTTTGTCTTACCTGTTTAATTATATTCTTTGCAGTATTAATCATTTCATCTCCATATATTTCATAAAAATTCAGCTTCCTTTGTTTTAGAAGTCCAAATACTAGAGATACAAGTCTCTCCTATCAAGAAAAAAGAAAATTAAAAAAAACACACATGAAAAATATCAAGGTGAAGACAAGAAACAATTTTAAGAAATTGCACAGCAGTAAGGAAGTTCATATATCAAGCACACAGTGAACAGCATTTAAGTCAATCCAATTCCTCCAGACTAATGCCAAGCTTTGCCTATACAAAAAAAGTTCCCTGTGGCAATACCAGCTGAGCCTCTTTCTTCCACCCCCTTTCCTGCCAATTCCTCAACTGGGCTCATTCACAAGTTCTTAAACCTGTGGATATTTCTAACCATGAGTGAGTTTCCTGATCCTGAGCAAGACTGACACTAAGAGTGAGAGGCTGGCACGCTGCAGCACAGAGGGCAAGAAACACAGGGCAGAAATGGGAGCACTGCAGTGCTACTGCCAACCACTAGATCTCATGAAATGGATTAAACAAGGCTGAACAGGTCATAGGCTCTAGCAATTACTAAAGAGCCCTACAGGCAAAACCCAGAAAAATATTTTCTGGGCTAGAAAGCAACCACAATAGCTTAATCTTTGTATGTTCATAATCTTCAGAGGAATGAAGAATATATAACTATATCTGTATTGTGAATGGAGCTTGCATTCAGGGCAAGCATATGCTTGGTATAAGAACCCAAAAAAGCATGGGGAGACAGAATGAGAACAACTTGTAAATATCAGCTTTCACTGCAAAACTGAAATTTTACAACCAAGTTGTTGAGAGTCCATGTTCTTTTCCACTTACATAGAAAAGACATTACGCAGCCTTACATGGCTTAGGTTCATGAAGTGAACTCGGTATACATTTAATCAGAGAAAAAACTGATTATTTTGAAAAAATAAAGTAGGCCTGGATTGCAGTTCACAGTTTAATTAGAATTATTCAATCTTACCATGCACAAAAATAAATGGGCAGGGAGCAGTGTGGATAAGAAGATAAATAGTCTAAAATTACAGTGTTGCTACTAGGGACCTGAGTGAATTAGTTGGTGCTAATTAAGTATGTTAAAGATGCAAACATATTCATGAGACAGTTTATTTCAATAACAGACATACCTCTTCTAGAATTTGGCAATCATCTTCTAGGGGTCTATTTAAATCATTGCGAGCATAAGTTGAAAACTCTGCAATCATCATTTTATCTATCAGCTTTTCCAGTTCACAAAGCTGTGAGCCAAGATGCCTAAGAAAAACAGCCATTGAGATATGAGCTAAATAATCAACCTGAAAATGAATCATTAGTTCACAGATGAAGAAAATAACCACCCAGCAGGAAATTTCCATGCAATCAACGCTGGCTTAATGGGAGGCTCCAATCTTTCACTCCTCAAAGCAGCTGAAATCATGCATTTTTCAGAGGCACTGTCACCTTACACCAGAACATATGGACTTGAATATTGATGGAGGATAAAATTTGGAAGTAGGGCTTTTTTTTTTTTTTTTTGGAAGGTGCCAAGTACCTCTCTGCCCAATGAGGTAAACCAGAACTAAGAATACTCAGTAGTTGTCGGTATAAAGGTGGCAAAAAGAAGGAATACTTCTTTTGCTCGTCAAGTTCCTTAGATCATCAGTCCCCAAGTTCTTCTAATTCAAACATTTGAGCTTTTGATGTGGTCACAGATTAAATTCACATGACAGGATGGCTTTCAGAGAACACATAGGAGTTTTTAAACTTGCCAATTTTTATGCTACTCTAAATGAAAAATGTTTTTCCCACGAATGGGAGATTTTAAACCATATTTTGCAGACTGTTGTCATACAGAACCACACGGGAATTTCTCACATCAGAAATGTCAACCACCCTTTAAAAGTGAGAACTTCAGAGATGTCAAACACTCCAGGCTTTCCAACTTCCACTAACAGCTGGGAACAAGTATCTCTAAAAATCAGACTGCCTTTGAACAAAAACAAACAAACACAGACACTTTGCAAGTGAGAATTAAGAGGAGCTGTGATATTTTAGAGAAGTCTAGATACAAAATGGGGGGTGATGAACATGGCCTTCATTCAGTGCTGGTGTAGCTGGATCCTTTGCTGTCATAGCTTATGACTCTTGGCTCCTCCTCCTTGCAGAAATCCACATGGCCAGCACTGAGCTGAAGTCCATGAATCTTGCTGGATCTGAGTTAAGCAGATTAATTTATTTACTTTAATTTCAAGATGACCAGGGATGTACCTGCTTTTGAAACTGTTGCTCAATAAGGCATTGGAATGGACAAAGCAGACATATTTCAAGTATCTAATTTAAGCAAAAATAGTCCAAGCCAGTTGCATCATGGGCATTTCAGAACAAACACAACAGGAAAACAATCCCAAAGATTGTTATAACTGGAGTTGCAAAACTGACTGCAGGACTATGAGACACAACACAAAGGCTCTTTCTGAGGTAAGGGTGAAGATGCTCCTTGGTACATTATTTCTGTACTTGTGCTGAACTGCACTGAAACACACCAAAACCTGTCCTCTCAAACCCCCAGCTATGGAAACATCCAACAACAGCTCCCACCCAGCACCTGCCCTCACCACTTTGTCTAAGAGGTTCTAGTCCCTAGCAGCCACAAAAACCCCTCCAACCTGAAACATTCAGGAACAAGTCAAACCTTAATTCTCACTCCAGCAAAACACCTCGGTAATTATCTCTTCACAGGTACCACTCATGCATCAGATCCCTTCAATGAATACTGAATATGACAACCCTATCATGCAAAATGATGACTGCAGGGTAACAATACACAAATGAGAACTATTTTTCCATGTGTCTGTGTTTTACTGTATAAAATACTATACCAGTGTGGCTTGCCAGCATACCTGTGAAAAAAGAAAAACAACAACAAAACAAAAACCCGAACTCCCCCCCACAAACAAATAAAATGACTGTCTCTCCATCACCCCAACAAGGACTGTGAAAACAATGCAGAAAGTGTTTTCACAGATTTTTAAGTTAGTTAACACATTAACTTTCTTCTGTACAATTAAAAGGGTGAACTTGAAAAGGTTAGAGCTCTAAAACCTTAATTCTATCCTAGAGTAGTAGCAAGCAGTTAAAACTGATATACATCATTAGTGACATGAACCCAAACTAAAGACACCAATATTACTTCACACAACCTTTATGGTTTTTTCATTTTTTGCTACAACTAGAAACAAACTACATTTTTCTCTGCATACAGTATGACAAGGGAAAATTAACTGATGATCTGCGTAGTTTTCTTACTGCTTGGTACTGAATGATTCTGACAGGACTCAGTTGAAAACACCAAATTCTACAAGCTGTCAGGGCAAACACTAAAACAAGATGTTGGAGAGGTTTTTTCCATCAGATATTTAGTAAACAAATAGTAATTATTCAAAAAATGTGTTATTGCTTAAGAAGTTTCTTGTTAAAAAATAAACCAGGTATTCAACTACTTGACAACTGCATCATTCTTGCTCAGAATAAAGCAAGAAGATCCCTTTGGTATTTCTTGGGAAAAGCTGAAGAATATGTGCTTGCCACCTATTTTATTTTTAGAAACACAACTTTCTACTGAGAAGTTTTATCAAGACTTCCATCTTCCTGCTGCATATTATTTCTTCACACAAGCTATATACACAGGCCACTGTGAGATTTGGAAACTGTGCTGGGCTTCTCAACTGCACTTGCATTTCTGGTGGGGTACATGACTTAGGCAGCCCTTAACTCAAGCCTCTACTGTCCAAAGCAGAGAGGACAGTTCCCACTCACATCACTGTCTGTAACTACCAAAACAACCAGCTAAGCTTTACTCATAGAAATTACTCTTTACAGACAAGATGATTATCTACCTGCAAATATGTTCCACGCCTGAGGGTAATTTTGAAGCAATGGCACATTCTTGGGACATCATGTCAATCAACCATAAGGACAGGAGAACAGCACTCTCTGGTGACAGAGCACATATGTTACCCAGCTGCAAAACACAGCTGATTCTGAGTGATGCTGTCACAGGGCTGCAGAACAGCACTGACTTGTCACCAAGGTCAATACACAGGTGACTCAGTCAAGGGTGGTGCACCAGAATCAAGTGGTTGACAGCAGGAACACTAAAGAGAACAAACTGCACTGAGGTCTCTGAAGAGAGCCACGTTACACTTTTTAGATAATCTGTTTCTAGATTTTTTAACAAAAACACAACTTTATCCAAATAATTTATTATCTCTTTTAATTTTTTTTTCTAGTACTTTTTTTCCTGAGATCTTTTCTACATAAAATTTGAGTGTATTTCCAGACTAGCTAAAAAGGGTGTTAGGAACTCAACAGAAGAGATGGACAACAACAGTAGCTACATAAAGTTCTGAACATTCATGTTGCAGTTACTGAGCAGCAGCCATGCTTCCATTATGCAATCTGTGGGCCACTGGGCTGCAGGAACCATATAACCTCTAAACAAACCATCCCTCACCCAGCACCGACTTAGAAAATTTAGCACACAGCTCCTCAGCTGGCTGATGCAAGCCTTGCATCTGATTTAACCACACACTGCTTCTGCATCATGCCACACTGGCAGCTTTGCATGCACCACTTTTAAACTGTCTGTATCTTATGATAGCTTCTTTTACATCAGCTAGAAGGATTCTACTGTATTAACACTCCTGCATGCTCCCTTAACAACTCCAGCCCAGGTCAGTCACATGGGCCCAAGGACCCATCCCTGGGGTGCTGCCTGCAGGAGGATTGCAGACCCCCAAGTGGAAAACACCTCTCAGCTAGAAGCCATGCAAGAGGAAAGTCCAGCCACAGCTTTGCTCTCATCTCTGCACCCCTAAAACATCTGTAAACGAGAACAGAGGACAAAGCATTTATATGTCACAAATTCATCCTGCTCCAAAAAAACCCCAAACCATCTCTGGCAAAGGCATTAGTCACACTGCTTATGCCACACTTACATTTTATACCTTCTGTATTAGGTCCTCTATGAATGAACGAACGAACAAAGGTAGAACAAATCCCTTCAGCCAACATAATGTGCTCAACACATTCCAGCTCTGCATTTTATGTATTTCCTACATGGTTACCTACCGGAAACTGTGAATACCTTGAAGTTCTTGCTGTAACACCTCTTGTGTTGTTGCTATTAAGTCCAAAGCTCCAACGTACTCGGAAGTGGAGAGCAGCAACTGTACTGTGGGCTGTGTTTGGTGTACAGTAGCCATTAACTTCAGTTTATTGTATGCTTTTATACAGTTATTTCTGGTGAGTGACAGTCTTAAAACTCGAAGCGATCCTTCACACATTACTTTATCAATTTTAGAGATTTTCTCTCTAAGCAATTTTACAGCCTGGGAGGTTTTCCTGAGGTAGTCCTGCAACTCATGCTGAGAGGTCATTGCATGAAAAAATGCTTCTGAGCGGAGAGAAATCTGATGAGCAATATTGACTTCCACAATGTCCAGATAATGGCTCAGCTGGGAAGAGGAGGGAAGAGGAAAAACCAACATTATTGTTGTGGTCTGGAAGCTTTATCACCATACAAATACACTTTCAGAGTACTTGTCTCATTGTGTCATGAGGAAATTTTGCTAATAGAAGTTAAATTTCTTTGTTGTTGTAACGACTTCTTTTTAAATTAACTTAAAATCACTGTGGGAGGGCTGATTTGATGCCTTTCCTGCTTGAAAATAAAAAGAAAGAAAAGCAAATAGATCTCAAATATCCAAAGTTTTGTACCACATGGTTGCACACTGGCCATAGAATATGGACAATAACCAGGAAACACCTCTGGATACTGGCTTGGAACCAACAGTATATACATGCAGATATGCTATGAAATTTGGGTCACTGAAACTGCTAAAGATGCAGCCACTATATCTGAGGACACACCACTGGTATGGTTGGCTCTGCTTATTTAAAAAGCTGTAGTACCTTCTTTGTACAAAAATCTCCAGGGTACCTCTGGCTGCAGTTGTACTTTTGCCAGCCAGCTGGAATTAGTACTAAGCCTATTTCCTGTGTGCTGGCACGGTTGGATTCCCAGAGACAGGGTACACCTACATGTTCAGAACCTGAAATCCAAATTCTCTGTGTCCAACAGTTACCAGACCACTGCGTTGGCCTGATTTTTTGATTGTAAAAGCTCGGTGTTCTGGCTTATGCTGAATATGCAAACTCAAAGGACTGAGACTTTAGGATGCTCATCTGAATGTTAATACTCAGATGACCTGGTTTCTCAGAGGTGCCGAGCATTCAAACCTCCTGCTGAATTCCAAAAGGCCAACCAGAGATGGAAAGGAAATCAGCTGAGAATATTTCCTTCTTGGAGTTATTTTTATACTGCTTCCTATGGATACACTTGGGATTTATACAATATGCAAACTCACCTTTTTTTTTTTCCCATCTAATTTAATCAGAAGCCTCCTCCACCAACCAGCTGTGACACACCTAGCCACAGGGAAAGCCAAGACAGACTCTGACACAGGGATCAGAGAAAGGGCTATTACAAATAATTATTTATGTGATTGTACCAACCAGATGCCCCAAGTCCCTTCACTATGCTAAACAAGGTAGAATAAACAGAGCAAACAGCACCTGCCTCAGAGAGCTTACAGTCCCAATGTAGGGCAACACATGGGAGGAGATGAAGAAGAAAACATCATGAGGAAATTTTTGAAGTAGATCAACAGCAGTCCAAGAGGCTGTAAGCAGATCTGCTTAAGGCAAGGTTTTCAAAATCCTGTTGGAAAATGGTGCCTGGAGCTAGGGACAATTATGGCAGCAGGGTGTGTATTTACATATGAAAAGTGTAAACCTCGTGCAGTTCAGAGGCTTTAAAAAGTAAAAAAGAAAAAAAAAGTTCAGGCTAATTTCAGTCATACGAAGCACTGTTTTCACTCCTCTGCATCAGTGGCACCTTCTGAGTGTCCATCCTGCTGCTGCCAGGCACATTTTGGGAAGTTCACAGCATATGCCAGACATTGCTTTATCATCTTCAGACAGCAACTGCCCCAGAAAACTCCAAAGAAGCCTTCCTCCAACTTTAGGTGTTGAGGACAACCTAACGAACCTTTGAGCTCCCTCCAGCAGAGCCTGTCTCTTCCTGAGCTGGCAGGAGAGCAGGAAGACTAATTCCCAGAAATTTGGAAACACCTTCCAGACAATCTCATGTTATTTTTTTCCTAATGTGCCCCACAGACTTCGAAATTACTCAGATTTTCTAAAAGCATTTTATGGGTATTTGTACTGTAAAGATGACTTATGAGATTTTCTATAGTATGACTACATAACTAGCAAAAAAAGATAGAAATTACTAAGAGCCTTCTGTTTCCAATATGAAAGAAACAGCTCTGCTTTCATGTTCTCCTTTGTGAAATGCAAAAACAGGTCAGTGCAGACAGCAACAAAAGTAAGAGGAATCTCCTAAAGTACAACCAGCATAGGGTTTCGTATTGCTTTTAGTACAGAAATCACAGCGCCTTGAATCTGAAATATTCCTGAGATGCTGGAAAATAACAGCCTTACACAGTGTACAACCTGTGCAATCCAGCTTTGCCTTCTCACAGAACTGCTCTTCCTCCCTAAGAAAACTACTCCACACCCCTGAAGTTCTCAATATATAGCTGTTTCAGTAAGATACAGCTGTTCTGAAGAGCCAGCTGTCACATCATATACAAATTCTTTTTTTATAGATTTGATAGATTTACTGAGAAGGGAAAAAAGTTCTTTTTCAGTAGGATGCTTCCTGCATGACTGACTAACAATCTGCAGCCTGATGTAAAATGAGAAATAGCAAAGCCCACAATGATGTCTCAAGAAACACTACGCAGCAGGAGCCATGGAGGTCCTTTGCAGTATCCACCAGCACTGATGGATAACCACAACTTTTGTCCAAGTTGTACCTTTTCTTGAAGTAACTTGGAGGAAGCTGCATCACGATTTCCTTTTCCACCAGCGGTACTAAAATGAGACCATGGTAAAACGGCATTAAATGTTAAGGAATCTTCCAAGGCAAAATCTGGTTTCATAAAAATCTGAAACAGAAAAACAAAAGAAATAAATGTGCCTCACTCACCCCTATATTTTTTGCCCCAGTTAAACATATCTCCTGTCTCTTTAAGCTAACAGAGACCTCATTTGTTGATTTCAGAATCCAGACTTTAATTTATCCAGGCAAACGGATTCATTTCAGACCTTACAACCAATGTACTTTAAAAGTTAGTCAAAACTCCAAAATTACATATGTATTCAACCACCTGAGATGATCTAAATGCCTTGAGTGTGCAAATGTAGGCAGCTTTGAAGTGCAGGTGGGCCCTCTCAAGGATCTGAGCAAAGCTTCTTCACTAACAAGGGCATCCTGCTGCAGATCTGCTCATTCCTGGGGCCACGGCTCCTAAGAGGCTGATGACCCAGCCAGCTGTCAGGGTGCAGCAAGTGTTCCCTGGGAGGCAGTAGAGCCTCAAGCTGACACCCTTTAACCAGGATGTAGCAACCATGCTTAGCACAGGAAGAGTCAGTAACATGTAACATTAATCACACCTCCTGGAGAACTATTAATCTAAAATTCTCTCTGATAACATTATTTATACTTGAGAATACCTTGAGCTTACAGGAGGCAGTAGAAGCCTCTTCCTTTTATTTATGAAGTGTAATTTTAAAAGGTTCAACACAGACTGAAGCATCACACCACACTCAAGCATTCTTGTTTCCTACACCTTAAACACTGCAGTGACAGCTACTCAAGTCTCAGCCTACACAACTGGCACAGAGATGCTGACCCATATTAATACTCCGACTTCTTACTGTACCTATAAAAAAATTATTCAGACTAAAAGGGAATCTGGAGCTGTGTCTTTTGTCAACCTGACACAAAAACCCACATCATATATACTCTATGCTTATACCCTTGATCAAGGATTCAAGCAGTTAAACCTAATGCTGAGTTGTACACCAGGCAATATTTAAGCTTTTCTCAAACTCTTCAGTTTTCCTTTCCTCCTAGACTGGCTAATTCTGCTCAGCTCTGAGGTCTTAACTTCATTTATTTAAAGATTAAAAAAATCATGGTATTTGTGTTATATTTTAAGAGAAAAACTGACACCACGGAAACAAGAAGAAAGAAAAAAAAAGACAAAGCAAATCATCCTTAGTCTTTAAATTCTGAGCACTACAGATCCTCTTGAGAATCGACCCAAGTCATCAGTGAGGACAAAATTTCTACAAAGGACAGAGAACATGCATATATCCAACACTTTCTCACTGTTTTAAGAAAGCCTTACAACAGCTCAGAGTGCACAGAAGCCATACCTTAGGTACTTGCTCCAGATCTGTCCTGGATTTATCTAAAATTAAACAAAACACAGGTAGTCATTCATGAGCAAACAACGGGAAACTATTCCATTGAACAAGTGAATCCCATGAGGAAAGAAGGGCTGGGTACTTTGGGGATTTTCTGGATATATATTTGTAGATATTTTCTGGCTATTTCTATTTTTCTTGGTAAAGTTTTGCATGGCTTGGCCTGACCTCAGCTGAACTGGCTTTGAGATGGCAATTGCAGTAAGGGTCTTCTGAAGTCCCTGCCAACCTGACATATTCTGATTCCTTGAAGTGCTCTTTTGTCCTTTGCAGTTCAGGTCTCATGCTTAGACTACTCAAAGGAGCTTGCACTTGGCTGCTTTGGCAGTGTCAGTGTTAGCCATACAAAGCAATCCACTCAGCACTTCACATTCATTAGTGCACTGGCAAAGACCAGTAAAAGATCCTTCTAACATCACCCCAGTTTTAATGCTTTGGACTGAAGCTGCCCATATAATCACTTTTGCACAGCACTTGGAGACTGAGTGCACAATGACTGTCTAGAAGGATGAACAAGGGCTCGGGCCAGGGTCCCAAGCAATGAGCAAGCAGCACAGCAGCACTAATGCCCATGGAGTATGCCGACCTGACAATGGCAGAGGGTGAGTGTTGAGCTGGGAAAAGAGTTAATTCATTATATCCCAGCAGAACTTGAAGAAAAGGCAAATTCAGATTTTTGAGCTTCAGCCAAAATCCCCTGTCCCACCCTTATTAATTACTTTAGAGGGCACTATGAACAGGGGGCACACTGGGGGACAAAAAAGTTGAGGAATTTAAAAGCAGCAAGTCCATATCTCTGCTGGACAGTCTGCTCAACCCTGACCAACATGGCAAGTGCTACCTCAGCATCAGCTCCCACACTGCTCTCTTTGGTTTTTACTTCATTTGTTTTTCACTTTATTTGTATTGAAGTTCAAAAGGCAACCTTGGAATCATCCTGCTGTCCTCCTTTGGAGCCTTTGGACAAACCAGTTCTTAAAGAAGTGAAAGGTCAAGTCTTGTGAGATGGAGTTGAAGGAAGACAGGAAACAGTAACAGCAAAATTTATAGAAAATCACAAGCTTCAGTTTACCAAATGCTGCTTCTGCTAGGAACTGTCCAGTTACACATGGAACTCCCAGTTACTTTGCTGACAGTAATTTTCTCTTTTTAAAAACACTCAGACTCATTTGAAATGGATTAAACTAAGACTGAAGAAGGCACTTTGATTTTGCAGCATGCAGCACAGACTCATTCTGGAACAGTTATTCCAAAGTAACACCAATACAGAGAAAACCCTCAGAAGGGTTTACTTTTGCACAGAAGAGGAGGAAGAAAGTCAACTGAAATAACTTGATCAGAAAGAGTAAACAACCAAATCCTTTTTGCTGTATAACCTGTAGACATTGATATAGATAAGACTTATCAAATAAGGACTGATAAATGAACCCTTTTATGCTAACGTTTTTGAGGAAGTAAATTAAAATAAAAAAATAAAAACTTGTCTCCAAGTTATGAGTGTTTCTTTTCCTTTTACATGTCTTTTTTTTTTTTTTTTTAAATTTATTTTGCCTCTTGCCTTCCCTCCTGTCTAGTTTTCAATTAGTTGAACTAATTCCATGAAGTCCTGAAATTCAGCCTTCACATGCAGGTTTGAGCTCCCCAGCACAAGGCAGACCTAGACATACTGGAGTGAATTGTGTCAAGAGCCACAAAGATGATCAAGAAATAAGGAGGAGAGACTGTTTAGGGTGGAAAAGCCCAAGGGAGATCAGTGTGCTTAAAGACCTGATGAGGGGGTGCACAAAGAACACAAAGCTGATTTTTCTCAGTGGTGCCCAGTGCCAGGACAGGAGGCAATGGGCAGGAACTGATATGTGAAAGATTTCCTTTGAACACAAGGAAGTATTTCTACTGAGAGGGTGGTAAAACAGTGAAACAGGTTGCCCAGACAGATTATGTAATTTCCATCTGTGAGATTCACAACCCAACTGGCCATTGTCCTCCCATAGGTGGCCCTGGTTTGAGCAGATGGTCTAGACTAGATCATCTTTTTGTAGAGATACAATTTCCCACCTCAGCCATGACGTGACTCTCATGGCAGAGATACAGGAATGGCACTGCAGCTCTCCACTGAGAATCCAACAGGTGATACAAATTTGATGCAACAGTTTCAATGGATCTTAAAACATAAAGCAGTTAAACAAAACATTGCCAGGGCCACAATGACCTGCCATGAATCCAAACATAACAAGAAAAAGTTTAAAAGCAGGTATCACTAATGTTTTGACCTATAAAATGTCAGCAGTGGGCACAAATACTTCTAAGCCTACCGTGTCTGAGTTTTCAATTATTGTTTCAAAGAAATCATGAGCTATTATTGTACATGAAGATCTCAAGCAACAGAGACAATTAGTACATTATAGAATCAATGATGATTAACATTCATAACACTTGCTACTGATGTTATAACATACTGATACAAAAAGACATCACTTTTTTATGACTAAAGAAGGCTTTGACTGTACCGTGAGTGTGTAATAGTGTCCTGTCAAAGGAATCTTTAGGAGTACAAATATTCTTGCACCTTTCATGAACTTTCTCTCTCTGCAGAAGAGAAAATATATTAAAGAGTTATTCTGATGCTTAAAACACAGATTATTTGGAGAAAAACATTTAGTGAAACGCAACTAAATTATGCAAAATAATTCTGCAAGTTCACAGTATTTTCTTCCCCTTGTAAGCTCAGACAAAGTTTGTCCAGGTGAAAGGTACCAAAAACTTCAGCCTATAGTGGATGTGTTGTTTTTTCCTGTATCTTTACATCTCAAGAGAAAATGAACACAGAAGTTATTGAAGAGGTGTAATAACATAATGATATCCTATCATAGATCAATTGTAATTACATACACAAACACTCATTTGCTGACTAATCCAGAAATCACACTAACACACAAAGAATCCTCTCTCATTGCTAAATCAAATTGGATGAAAGTAGAAATTACTTGCACATATTACTAATGAATACCTTGCTGAAACCACATATCTTGTTTCATCATGCTGAACTTTGAATTTTCAACACCACCAGGGATTACAGTGGTGAGAAATTGTTTCTAAAGAACACCAACAGATTTATGCTAGAAGCTACATCACAGCTCAGCTTCAAAATCTTTTTTTATTTAGAAGTCACTGTGTGAAGTACTAATTTCAAAGAATAAAATCTTAAAACATTTTAAATGCTGAATATGTTAAAGGCAATAGTTCAGTTATAGACAATTCCCTCCCACGATCTTTAATTATAATTACACAAGTAACACTTCCTGCAGCTAATTCTGAACCAGAAAAAAAAAAATAAGGAAGTTACAAACCAAGGAAGCAGAAAACAGCAGGAGACTTCTACATGTTCTTTCAGTCAAAAAAAAAAAAAAAAAAGAATACTACATACTTACTGACAATAGTATTTTTAAGAGATTGTAGAAGTCTCCTACTGGTCCTGGTGTCCTTAGATGTAGCTTACACTTCCCTGTTACAAAAGAAATCATCAAGATAATAGGCCTCTTTATAGTTTAAGAAGTTCATGTATAAATGTTGCAAAGTTTAGATTGAAGAGTCCTAAAAAATATCTCCAACCCTCGCTGCATGTAGTCATTTGATCCACAGGTCTATGGAGAACACTATGCTGCACTGTAGAGCCCAATCCTTAAACAGCCCTTACAGAAAAAAAGGATTAACGACCAGAAAGAATAAATATGAATGGCAAGTCCTAGTGCAGAGCTCAGTACTCAGAAAGAGAAGTTAAAAATACCATGAAATTGCCTCAGGACAATTCAGAGAGTATTTTCCATACGATGGGTTCTGAGATTATAAAACCAGAAATGTCTAACGCAGACACAACCAACACTGAAAAATCAAATTAATTATCAGCTAACCATACAACAGGCTACTAGCAGAGACAACCAGATTAGAAGAAGGATCTCTTCCTGGTCCTTAGGACTATGTGCACCTAATTGGAGGTTCTTACCGGAGTGATTTCCTGTTGGTATGATGCAAAATGTTCCTTGGTGATCTGTGGGAGGTAGAATGAAGGCGTGACTTCAGTGTCCACAAAGTCCACTCCCCATGTTTTTGTAAAGAAATCAGATTCCCTTTTTGCTAACCTAGGATCATTTAGTGCTGCTGGGAGATTGACTTTGGAATGATAAATAGTCCATCTTTGCTGATCCACAACTAGAGATGGGCTGTCATGTAAGTTATTGGGATTGCCTGCAGCACAAAAGACAAGACAGTTTGTTAGCGTAAGAAACAAAGATGTAGCTTTTGCTAAAATGTGGTTCTTAAGCAAACCATATTTTCCCAATTACATACAGATTAGAATTATCTATGCAAACGACAGATGATACTCTCCTTCTGCAACAATTCACCTTGTATTTCTTCTATGAGATTAACCAACTCAAATTTGAACACAGAAGTAGTGTACTGACACTCATTAAATAGATTCAGCTCAACATTAGCTTCTACTGATGAGAAAAAGATTCCAACCACAAACATATTTCTAATAATCTGATCTTGATCAGAATGACAGCTGTAATTCGTTAGTATGCGTCATAATTCTTAAGATCCCATCCCACCTACTCCTTTGTGTAAACCAAGCTTTAGTGCAACACAACAGCTGAACTGTGACCTAAAATCTGGTTTAACAACAGCACCAGAGACTTAGTACTACAGACAGGTCACTTGCTTCCTCCTGCAGATGGGCTGGGATATCTCCCAGAAGGAATGCAGCCAGGCTCCAGGCACACAGGACTGTCCAGCTCTGTCAGACTGCACCCTCTTCTTACATGGAATATGGCTCACAGCTGTAATGTGGAATCATGCAAGCAAAGTCCCACCTATAATGGGGGCATCTTAAAACAAGCTGCAAATAGTCTCTCCTATTGCTCCAGAGGGACACTGGGTGGTATAAAAAAGAATCACAGCATGCTTGGAAATAAGACTATGCCTTAGTACACTACACCCAGTATACAAGAAATATTGCCTGGATAGCTGGCAATGGTTCAGCAAATTGAGCTGCTTTCTCCCTCTTCCTGCACACCAGCATTACCTGTGGGTTCCTTGGGACACACATCCGGCAGGGACTGCACAGGGTGAAAGCGTTTCGTGGCGTCCACTTCTTTTTTAAAGAAAGCATCACTGCTGTTTGACTGAGGCACTGGTGAAGAACTGTGGCTTGATGCCATTGCATAAAATCACCACTTGATAAAAGCTAAATAGGAAACAAGAGATAACAAGGCTTTAATAAAGCTCAGGGGACTTGCTGTATCAAAACAGTGACACTCCAGTATTGTCTTTAACTGCAATATTTCAACTGACACATTTCAACAACAGGAGAAAGTTTATTTTAAGTATAAAAATAAATGGCAGAATGTAACTTCATAGTCTGTTCCTCACACACCTGTGGGTTTGGAGGACAGCCCGTCCTTGTGCACAGCACTAATAAGATGTTACATTAGGGAAAAAAAGCAAGTCTTTCAGGCACTTCTTCCTTTGTTGCCATAACTATTGCAGCCATAGTGCATACATTCACGATAGAATTTCCTCTCAAATATCAGGAAATCCTGTATTTGAATCAGGAAAACTGACAATTCAACTTCTATGGCTGGCTAGTAAAGTGCAGTTTATTCCAGCATAATGTATTTGCACAGGGAAGACAATTAAATCATAGATCAAAAAGCTCCAGAGTAAGCAAAGTCCTACTAATTTTCAATTTTAAGATCCCAATTTGAAAATAAATAGCCTTAAAAATTTTACACCAGGGCTGATCTTAATGAGTTCTTTCCACCTGTAAAGAAAACTGCATCTCCATCAAAATATCAGACAGCAGTACAACTATTAGAGGTTTGACAGTTTATTAAAGCTGTACAGCTCAAGGAGTGCCTGTTCAAAAGGACCCATCTGGATCCTCCCCTTTAAGGAGAAATTAAACACATCTAGCAAGATCTTAGCACTTAACTAATAACCCATAATGGGCACTCAAATTGCTCACTACCCTGTGAAGGAGCACAAGAAGATTAAAGACCAATTTTATCTTCAAGGGCTAAAGCGGGCACCAAGGGATGCTGTATCTCACCGTGTCAGCTTCCAGCAGCATCACACATATTAAAAATCTCATTTGGAAAAGAAAAAGAAAAGGTTCTACTTTCTAATCAAGGTTGAAAGTGGCCTACAAAACAATTCTAAAAGAGATGTTCAACTATAACAGAGCATCCCAATGAAGAGGCCCATAATAAGAAAAACTTACTAGCAGATAGAGAATGGGAACAGTCAGACAAAAAACATTCCCAGATATCTGATAGATCTTCCTTAAATACCATAAATCACTAATCTCTCTCCCCCAAAAACCCCACAAAATCCTTTTATCAATACTTTTATTGCATTTTCATATTCTTATGTATTCCCTTGACATTTCCAAAATAACTTCTTCATTAAGTTCTTTGCGAATGTTTTAGGGTGGTTTTGTGAAAAATCTAGTATATGATGACAAAACAGTTATTATTTTAGCATTCTTAAAAAACACATCCAGTGCTACATTGCCATGACCAAGTCTCCTTGCTCCTCAAGGCATACAGTAAAGTTTTTTGCGCTTGGAAGTGCTTCAAAGTGCTGTATTTGCAGTTTTTCTCCTGAAAAAGCCTCTGTAATATGAGTCACAGTCTGCTCTAGTCAGATGTATGAGCAACTAGGGCAATTTGTAGAAAGCAGTGAAATCCTGTAACTTTTGCAAGCCTTTCATTAAGCCTTTCTCTGTTCCAACAATGAAGTACCATCTAAAAGAATTGTCTAGGATATGAATTGTCTCAACTACATAAATCTGAGTGGAGAAAATGATATCTGTGTGATGCTAATCAAAAATTTAAAAGAAAATTTAAGACTCGAGAGTAGCTCAACACCTCAGCATTTCACAAACAAGCTCTACCTACTCTTGCACAGATATTTTCATTACTTATCACCATGAAATATTCACTGACAAATCTCAAAATAAAATGAAAGGAGTACAATAAAATACCAGTGCAAGCAGTAACCTTCATACTGTTGAGTGGATTTCAACAAGATATAAGGCTTCATAGGCAGAGGCCTTCTTAACTGGCATGCAATCTGATGCTGTACTAAATTATTCATGCTAGCAGCTATTCTAGTACCCTCATAAGTCAGGACCTTGTGGACAATTAACCCCAATGAACAACCACATCTGCACAGGAAAAAACTATTCTCTGCACTGCCCAAAACCAGGCATTCCTCAAAATGCAGTCCTTAAATTGCCCAAAAAAAGTATAACTTCAGAAAGACAGAGAAAACTGGACAACAGTACCTGAATTAAATCCATGTTACAAAGGAATATGTGCCAAGCCCATATAAAGGCAAAAATCCTGCCCTACACTCATCTCTGTGCACTAACCTTACCCAAAACTAAAAAATCTAATTTAATTTATTCACCAACAGAACAGCAGCTCCTTGTGCTCCATTACTAAACATTTTATAGACAAATGAATCTATAACTAGCCCCCAAATTAACATTTTAAAATGATACACGATGATATACAAATTTCCTGATTTAAACATACCAAAAAAATGAAACTAAGTGTTAATGCAGAACAAAATTTCTGCAGAGTATTTTAACTCATTCAATTTCCCATGAAAGTGAAAGGCAGGTAAATGCAGTTAACTGCACTAACTGTGCAGAATGACAGGCAGGTGAATGCAGTTAACTGCATTAACTGTGCAGAGTGAATTATGAAATGGTGAGTCCCCTGAGTCTCTTACTTAAAACAACATATGGCTGTAGTAAGAATATGCAACTGTGTAACTTCTTCACATCAGTGTTTAAATTATATACAATTAAAATGGGTTAGATCAACTGTGTTCTCTCCAGTAATTACCATAATTTACTCACATTTTGTCTAGAAATGTGTATTAAACTAATGCAATTAAAAAAAATGTTTTGAGGTTAGACATAAGAGTAGTTATGGAACCTGGAACCCAGGATTATGGCTCTATTTGCAACATGCCTTCAATATATTACATCTATTTTGTACACACTGTATTAATTTCCTCATTTAAAAAGATTATATTAAATTACACTGTCACTGTAATGACTTTATACTGCTGAAGTTAAACCAAATCAGCCATGGCAACAATGAAAATAGCTTTGATGATCTGAATTCACAGTATTCCTATAGTTTGAGCATACAGAGTTGCATTTCAACTTACAGCCTCCTCTTTAAAAACATTCTTGTTCAGCAACGTGCTCAGCAAGTGACAATATGACACAGCTGTACAACACAGCATGGAACAGAATACCGTGGTGACAAGAGTAAGAGCCACACATTTGGATGCTGCAGAGTCAGCGAAACAGCAGATCTGTGAGCTAGCAATGCATTAATCACATGAGGTTATTTCTGAGATGACTACGCTGTGACTCTTGAGTTTCACACCCAAGGTTCAGCTGTTGGAAGAGAGCACAACAACCAAGTGTATTACTCAGAAGTAATTGCACAGGGTGGTTGTAACTCTGGAGAACATGTTTATTTTTCTAAGTGTCAGGACTTGTACAAAAAGTTCTTCAGAAACTGCCTTCCCATATTCTGAGTGTAATTATTCACATGCTTTGCTTTTTCAGTATCATCCATAGAATCTGCTCTCTAAATTTTATTTTAGCTTCAAAAATAGTGACACCTAAGACAAGACACTCAGTGCTCAGGGGAAAGAGCCCCCAGGGTTCCAAGTGAACATGCAACACTGAGCAAGCTTTCCTTCAAGTATTCCCCATTGTCCACAAGGAGCCACACTTGGACACCAGCAGGCACTTTTCAAGGGGTATGCTCTGCATCCCAAAGGTAAAGCAGGAGAAGTTTCTCTGTGAACACAAATGGCATGCTAAAGTCCCTGCTGCTTGTCATGGCTTTGGCAACAACATGAAATGAAAATATTTCAAGCACTCTTCTGGATACCCAACATGCTTTGGAATAGAAAACTATCAGAAGCCACCCACAAGTCAAGCTAAAGCAAGATATTGCACCATTTCTAGAAGATATGATAAATACCAAAGACACTTATTAAAGAAAAGCATACCTGAAACATAACTAAGATAAAAATGCACAAGGGGGACTCCTTCCAGGACCTCAACAGCTAATAAATGGCATGTTGTTATTTGCCTTATATATTTACTCAGTCCTCAAAAGTTGAACTCTCCCTATGTATTATTACACAGGTCTTTTTGCTAAATCAGCAGGATTTCACCCTGTAACAGGGCGACCATGGTACGAGTAAAGTACACCACTGCACCCTTGTAAGGCAATGTGAGCCAGACTGCACTAGCACAAGCTTTCACTTTTTTTTTAACCAGCTAATTCCTCAGGCTGAAATTTCCATGCTTGATCCTGGTGCCCTGAGACAGGCATCTCTGCTGCAGCAGGGGAGCCAAGGTTAGCTTGGAGCAGAAACACTCGAGCAGTTTCAGAGACTGAGGTTAAAGCTGCAGGAGCTGTTCTGCTAACCCAAGCCCTTTCTGAACACCTGCTTCCACCCTGGGGTTTCAGAGGACAAAGATGATGACTGTCAGGGGAATGACAAGGAGAGCTGTGACTCGTCCCCATGGCAAGCCACCTACATTTGGAGCACACTCCAACATGAAACCTCTTCACACAACTTAGAGAAGAGACCATATGAGCCTGGCCTTTCTGAGAGTCTAATAAACACATTTGTATTCACAAACAAGCACGTATTTGAGTGCATTCTGCACACCCTAATAGTATCCCAAATCTTGTACTCTCACACTGAGGGTGAACCTTCTCTGCAAAGTTAGCATGACTGATAACCACCCAGGTGAGCCTTGCTGGGATGAAATCAACCCAACAAGGAAGCAATGTATGAGTTACCTGCATTTCCCATCAGCCCTGCTTAGCCACACATGCTGTTATGCCCCAGCAGATTCTGTAACTCCTCAGACTGTGCTACTTTCCCAGCAAACTGCAAAATGGGGACTGTGGAAAAGCAAGAGCACTTGAATAGCCCAAAGAGTAATGCCACCACCCTCCCCTTAAATTGTCTCTTTCACAAGGCCATCTCAAAACACTCTCCTCAAACAGTGAAACAGGCAAGAAAAAGTGGTAGTGACTCCAAAGAAAGAACAGAACAGCTGCATCCCAACTGCAAAGCACCATGGGTAGCCTACATGGCCAGGATAAAACAACATCTGACTTTCATATTATTACATTTTGTACTGGTTTCTTTTGCCCTTCCCAGCTGTAGCCACATGAACAGCAGATTAAAAAAAAAAAAAAAAAAAAAAAAAAAAAAAAAAAAGAAATAAGAAAAAAGCTGTAGCTGAGCTTCATTTCTTTAAACAGAAGAATAAGATCCTCTGAAAAGAATTACTCCAAAATGTCCTATCACTGAATAATGTGTTATTACTTAAAATAATCCACAAGTGTAAACATTTTGTCAAATACTGGAAAGCAATTTATCTCCTTTTAGACAAACTATCTGGAAAGTAGTACTTCACTTTCATTCAGGTACCAAATAAACAATTATACTAAACACTTGTGATGTACCCACTGTAGCAAATGTACTTCCTCTCATCTGGAAACCCAACCTCCCAGTGCTGAACACTAATTTGAAATCAAAAGGCAGATTCTGTGCTGGAGAAACAGAATAATGACCTACAGCTATTTAGATCATTATGAACCCAGTTCTTCTGCACCAGAGGTGTCAGAATCATTCAGAAACAATCATCAAAGCAGTTAAAATATATATCAGAAAAGGCCTTGTGGTTAGTTTCCCACACCATCACACACAAGATGAGAGTGAAGTCTCTTTGTACTCTTTTTTCCAGGCATCAGCATTAAAGCGTGCATTACCCCTTGGAAAACAGTGAAATATGAGCATCTTACAGAGCTCCAGAGAGGTCCACACAGCTGAACAAAGACCAAGGAGCCCCAGCAGGCATTCCTGCTATGAGTCTGTCAAAGGCAGACTGCAGAGCAGTGACATGTGGAGAAAAGGCAGAAGAACTGCACCAGCCCCAGCAAAAATCACAACACTGAGGGTGACAAAAGGAGTCTGACAGATGCTCACGGCAATTTGCGTCAACAGCATGACTCCCTGTACAGCCCCTCCACTTGCCATCATCAGCAGGGCTAGGCTCCACTTATTCTTTAGAAAATAACCTCCTAAAAACATGAATTTTCATGGCAATTGTGTCTTTCTGAAGCCTTGCCCAAGTCCTGAACTGCAAGTGGCTATGAGGAAGCCAAATAAAAATATTTCACTGTTGGACATCATGCATAAAGCTGCAACCAGAGACTATCAAAAAGCAGGCCCAGGGCACTTCACATCAAGTCCTGACAGAGGATGCCAGTCCACTGTCTCTCTACAGGCCAGGTACTCTGCAACCAAGACCACCTGAACTTTAACTTGGTGAGCAACAGTGTGCCACCCATGTCTGTTGATAGTCCTTGTATTAAAATTAATACCTGCCCAACAGAAGATAAACAAAACTGATCACCTCTATTCACATCACTTCCTTTTCATCCCTCAAACAGCTTCTGTTGACAAAAAGAATGAATAATTCCATGGCATAAAACCCAGAATGGTCATGCTACACCTAGAATGCCAAAAACCAAAAGGAAGGTCTTGCACTGCTGCTTACAGTGACTCTATAAAAATGATGGAAACTGTCTAACATGTTGCAAAGTGTCAGATATGCTACTCCAATTCTAATATTCTAGCCCTAACACACACCCACACACATCCAAAATGAACCCTTTTTTTTTAAATTTAAGAACCAGATTGATAGAGAAAGATATTTAAGCTACTAGGTGTGAGTACTTCTTTGGAACATCTGATCAGTACATGGACCTGTCAATTTTGAGTACGAGGGAAACACATAAACAATTCTTTATCTTCTGCAGAGAATATTCAGGTGTCTTTTTTTAAATCTAGCACCTAGGTGAGGTGGGTGCAGAAAGCTAAAAATAGGAAGACAAATCCTAGATTTGCTGGTAAATATGTCTTGGACTTACTCATATGAAGCGGCAGAAATATCTATGTCCAATATCCACACTCCTGCTCACCTGCTCACTCTTTCTGCTCCGTTCATAAAACAAGACAAGGAATAAACAAAGTGTATAGAAAAAAAAAGGAGAAAGGAAACCAAAATAAAACTGTGAGCCTCTCAACAGGAAGGATGATATGATGCTCATGGGCCTTCTCTCTTCTTCAGAATAACAGCTCCTCATTTTCCCCAAACTCTGTAGAAGGAAAGCAGAAGTGGCCTCTTCACAGAGTTGCTGCCCCAAAAGAAGAAACAATACCTACATGATCATGATTCCATTTCCCAACCTCTTCCTGCTCAAACTGCCAAAGAGAAGCCTGCAGTCTGCTTTCTCCACTCGTTTCTAGCAATTCCTGACATTTTCCAGGCAAACAATATCTTCCTTCAACATTGGAAACGTGCATCTCCTTCTCCTCCCATGAAGTTTGTGCTTGCCAACAAGGCAAGATTCCTGCACACATGCCAGACTCCCACTACAGAGAAAGATGGTGCTGAAGACAGAGGGACACTTGGGACAGATCCTGTTACTGGCAAATGCAATGGGAGAGGTAGAGATGCCTCTTGTGCAACCTTCTGGCCTCACTGGGGAGGCTGCCCAGCAACTTTTGCATGAACAGCGGTGGATGTCCTGTCAGTCCATTTTACGCACTGTTCTCCTACACCAACCTAATACCCAAAGGATCTCAAGACCTTTTGTCTGCACTACAGTTTTCCAAAGAGTCACACTGACTCTCAGGTCACAACAGCAATTACTGCAGTCACTACAACAATTAACATACTGCGGTTGGGTTTTTCAGTAAGAGAGCAATTTCTCACCGGGTTGCACAGCAACAGCTGCTCAAATCCATAGGACTTCTCATTCAGGATTTCATCAGTACAGGTAAGACAGTAAAGTCAATATACCGCCTATGCTAGTAACTAAAAGAAACCAATACATGCAAATCTGTAGCCCAGTAATTACTTTGACAGACGTTAAAATAGACGTTTTATACTTATTTATACTGGATTGTGATAACTCTATGTCCTGCAGCAGAAATCCTAAATATTTAGAGAATATAAGAAAAACAGAGAAGAAAAAGGGACTCAGCAACATACTAAGGCCCAAACTGGGCAGTCAGATGGTAAAAGTTTCTGATGGGATTACAGAAGGTTGGTATTTTAAAATCCCACATGTGTACTTCTCTCAACGTCACATACTGTATTTGAAAAAAGAAATGCAAGAAATTAATCTGCCCATCACACAATTTTAGGATCATCTACAAACCCAGGAACCCATCGCATTCCTACATGGCTTATGGAACCAACAAACCCTTTAGCACTCCACATCCCAGTCCATCCTGGCTGCCATGCGGCAGAGAAAACCACTAAATACTGGCTCTAAACGTTAGCTCCCGAGCCGCCCATACCTTACGGAGAACACGCCAGGAGTATCTCCCGGAGGCCGTCGTCATATCTCTCCCCGTGGCATCGTCGGGAATGCTGCCGGGGTCCTGCGGGACAGTGACCGCATGAGGGAGGCCCGGCCTCACGCCGACACCTCCGCAACCTCCCCGCGCCCCCGGCGGGCACCGCCCGCTGCCCACCGCGGGGTTACCATGGAAATTCAGACCGGGGATCTGCAGGGGAGGAGGGAAACCAGGCCGCGGGCNCGCGCTGCCGCCGCCCGCCCGCGGTGCGGTCCCGGGGCTGGGCCCGCGGGGGCCCGCAGTGCCCACGGCCGGCGTGTGGGAGCCCTCGTCACCGAACCCCCCCGCCCGCGGGTGCTGCGCAGCCGGTTTGACTCGGATTTATATTTTAGGCTGTAATTCTCCGCCAGGCCACAGAAGCTGCTGAAATAGAGGCACGCGTTAGGTCCTACTGAAGTAGTAGCAGCCTCCTGCCTGATCGTGCCTTAAACACGCTTTAATTCTCGGCCGTAGTCCTGTGCCAGTCATCAAAACACGGCGAAACTCTGGTTGATTAACAGCAGATTCTGGCTGTATTTAACAAGCATGTGGCTATGGGCTGCGTGAACGCAGGGGTGTGGAAATCCATGGGTTACATGGGTTCACGCCTCGGCTTGCAGCTCACTGACTCGTGTTTGTGTCTGGTGCTGGCCCCAGACTGGGCTGAAGGTGTTGTTCTGCTCCTTGGTGGTCAAGGCTGGCAAAGGTTTGTTCGGTACAACTTGTTTTGCAAACTCAGACAGTAAATCCCAAATGAGGTATCACCAGCATCAGGGACTCCTTGGTGACTTCCTCGAGAGACGTGTCTGACCTGGCCAGTTTAAAGAGCAGAAAACGTGACACTACCAGAAAGAAAGACTAGTTTAATATCACTGTTACTTCACAACTGTGGACTTCAGTGTCAGTGGCCATCCATTATACCTTTCATAGACATGCTTTAGAAAATAAGGATGCACCTTCTTATGCTTCAGAATTCCATCCTTGGCTTTCTGGCGTTAATATTAGCACAGCTCAAACATACTTCATTGGAAGCTAGAACAGCAAAAGCAGTCAAAAACCACAACTATGTTGAGTATTAAATGCTTGTTAGGAAGCCAGTGGGGATTTCCCTCCAGCAACCTGCAAATGTCATTCACAATATTTTCATAGCATATTTTCCCCTACCTGGCAGAAATCTCTTTGTGCCGTACAGCCTCCGCTGTGCTCAGACACTCCACATGGGCAAAACATGGTGGCTTGGGGTTTTTCTGGGTTTTTTTTCCCCTTGGGGATCTCATTAGATGGAGTCTGTCTGTCTCCTAATCCCTAAAACATTACACAGCAGCAATAAAGTGAGCAAGGAGATCACAAACATAGCGTAAAACTGATTGCTGTGTATTGATCCAGACTGCAGAACGACTGAGTTTGCAGAATTAAGTCATGTGGATAAAGGTAGGGAAATAGGAGAAGCTGTAGGAGGGAGGTGGTGTTAGCCCTGTCCTCCCCAGGAGTTCTGCTCTATGTTACTTGCTGTTGACTCAGACAAAAGTCCTCGGCTGTGTGGGTCAAGGATGGCATTCCTGCCTCAGCATTGCTGCCAGCTGGCTGGGGGTGTCTCCGTGGCTCCTGCAGCTACTCACAAGTGAGTTGGAAAGTTTGGATTTGCCCAAATGGACTTCACAGTTTGCTTTCAGTAGTCTGACCTTCTGGAATTGGACCTGAGAGTATCTACATAACCACTTTCCACTAGCCAAGAGACAGATAGGAGGGAGTGGAAAGAGAGTGGAAGGCAAAAGTAAAGGGAATCCCCAGAAGAGAAGCAGCCGTACGTGATTATTAACTACAGATGCTGGTTTTGAGGGGAAAGCCCTTCCTACAGACTTAGTGGTAAACCAATTTTTCCCTCTCTAGCCCTATGGGTCAGCCTGAGGCAGAAGGTGAGTCCTGCAGAATGGATACAATTTTCCATGCCTCCCTTATATGAATCATGGGTTGATCCACTCACTGTTGAAATGTGTCCAGTCCTGGTCAGCAAACTGAGCCAGAGCCAAGTCCGGCTGTGCAGGACTGACCTCAGTGCTCAGCTGCTGAGGTTCACAACGTTCTTGCAGCATCTTCACTGAGTCAGGGAGCTGTCCTGCCGGGTTCATCTCAGTGAATTGTCAGAACAGCCTTAAGAAGAAATTTTGCATCAGTTGCTTAGCATGAAGTGACCTTTACATAGAGCTGGCTTACCCCTCAGCTGACACTTGTCCAAGGAGCCCTGATCTAGCTGAAAAGCTTAGGTCTGTGTTTCTCTTGCACCAGAGAGGTACTTTCAAAGCCAGTGATTCATTGTGTCAGAGATGCAGGGGAAAGCCATACCCTCAAATTGACATTTAAGCACCCTCCCATGACCTTTAATGTTTTCCAGTTGCAATTAAAAGTGTCTTGTTACCTGCTCATGCAGGGAAACTAACAAACTGTTTGATTTTCTACCTTATGCTTCATTGGCATTATCTCTGAGCTAAATGTTGTTACTGTTCTGCTTCATTTTGTATTAACAGCAAAGACCTCTGTTCCCCTTGGGAAAAATAAACTAGAGCTGATCTTCTGATCTTTGTGGATCAGAAGGAAAGGATGACAGCCATGGGATTGCCTCCTGCTGCTTGCTTTTCTGACTGTCACCTTTCTGCTAAACCCTGTGGTGGCAGTGACAACACCAGTCCAGCCTGAGAAACCTCCTCTCCTCCAAATTGTAGGAGACTCAGTGGGTGAATTGTGGAAACTTTGAGAAGAAAGGCTGGTTTAAAGCATAGCAAAGCTCCTGAAGGCACGTGGCGTGGCTGGGCTTGTGAACTGTGGTGTTTACAGCCATCGCTTCACCAGCAGAGCTGGTGAGGTGAGGAAATTCTGAGTCAGCCAACCATAGTTCACTTGAGCTGTTGTCAGTCTACCTCCTCACGTACAGCTTATGTCCACAAAGTCTGCTTTTATGGGAGCATTTCAGATATCTGTGCTTCCTTCTGATTGCCAAGGGCCACGTCAGCTCTGCAGGGCAGCGTGACTCAGCCCAACAAACACCCATACCCTGGGCACACAGGACATAGTCCCACAAAGACTCTCCCAGGGAAAAACTCCAACCCCAAGTAGCTTTAGCCAGGAAAATCTTTATACTGCTGCTTTTTCATCTGTATGAGTTAAACTGGCATTCTTACAAAACAACAGAAATATGACAGGGTTTTTTCCTACACTCAAGACAGCTCAGGAGTCTTCGGTGCAGTCTTCCTGGAAAAGAAATGGGAAACAGTGAGTTTTGTCCTGTAGAAAACAATCAGTAAAAGGAACAAAGTAGCTCAATGTTTTCTCAGATGCAAGAGACATTAAAAAAATAAGGAAATGCTTATTACTGTTCAGTGGCAGAACTAGCAGCCAACTATTGTAAAAGCTGGGTCATCTCTAGGAACACCTGGCCTCCTTTCTTGAGATGTCATAGTGTTTCAGAAGGTCCTTGCTTACAGGATCCTGGTACCACTTGCTTTCAGTTTTCCATAGAAAACCTTTGCTCAGCTTGTAAAAAAATGAAGAAGGTACTGCAATCCATAGGGAATGTGAGGGAAAAGAGTGATTAAATGTAATTAGAGGGGCAGGTCCCCCAGGAACGCTGAGTGTAGTGGGTAATCTTGTCTCTAAAAGAGCAGCATTAAACAATGATAGGAACAACCAAACTTCAAGGAAAAGCTCTCCTTGGAGGAAGCAAGGGATATAAAAGAAATATGTAAAATAATGAACAGTGCAGAGAAGACAGATGGAGAGTTTCTGCTCTTCTTATCTCAAGTGACATGAAGGGATATTAAAACTGAATATTTCATGCCAGTAGCAGGGAACATATTTCCAGGCCTTGTTTAAGTAGAGCATGGTGCTCAGTGCCACGAGAAACCTTTCAAGACAGGAGCTTAGGAACACACAGAATGGGATGGCAGTTTTATAGGGCAATGTTACTGTCTCTCAAAATTCAAACAGATGACAATCAGACCTTTGTAGAGAAGACATGACTGGCCCAACTCAAGGGCCACCACCTCACATGGCTCTTTCTAGGACAGTTTGTTAATAGATTCCACCAAGACACTGTCAGAACATAAGGACAACCCATAAAACTGGGATGCCAAGTCTCTCCTGTTGCTCCTGAATGCCCTGGCATGCATTCTTCCATGTCTGCAAGGGTAGCAGAGGTCCTCCTGGCTCCAAGTCATTCCTCAGCACCTTAGACATGCTGCAGATGTGGCTGCATTTCACACAGTTCTTGGTTCTCTCAGTCTCCAGTGAAGAGGCTGTGTAAAATTAAAAGCTCTTTCTTCTGTATGTGGAGTGAGCCCATTTGATCAGACAACACTTAATTCTGATGGAGTACATTAATACCTGAGTCATCAGGGGCTCTGGCTTTCTTTATGTCAGCTTTCCAGGCTAGCTTTGTTATGTGCACTGCTCCCTTTGAGTCCGGCCATAGCCACTCCAACATTACAAAAGGAGGGATTCTAGTGGGATGCTTTCAGGAAAGTGTAATGGGAAACAGTCTGGTCCAAGCAGCACCTCAGGCAAGCGGAAAGCTCCTGTTTCTGAGGTTACATGTGAGTCAAAACAAGCAGTTTCAAAGCAAGTGATGGTTGGGAAAAAAAAAGAAAAAAGTGCAGAAAAAGTGAACCAAGTTGGTACCAAGGGAGCAGGGCTGGCATCTTAGTGACTTTTAAAGGGAAGAATTTGATCCTAGATACCACAGAGTTCACTACAGGTTTTATTTTAAAGATCAGAGATAAAGGCCCTGAACTGTAGATGTTTTTAGACTTCGTTCTGCTCTAGGTTGCAAGACCTGTAGGTAGAGGGTACAGCCAAGTTCACTTGCAGCTAGTGTATCACACACACTGCTGAGAGGAAAACCACACGCCTTTCTGCATTTTAGAGCTCTGCAGCTGAGAGGCTGTGGAATGACGTGGGTGCCTAGATTAAACTGAGGAAGCAGTACCCTCACTGCAGGCTGGCCCAGCCAGCAGCTTTCTGAATGGTGCCTCAGTCCTCTCTTTGACCTTGACTGAAAATCCCAGGGATTAAAGC